AAGGCCTCAATGATCAACTATGAGAGAAAGAGAGTTGTGAGTGGATGGAAAACAAAATTCAAAAATTGTAGGTGTGACGGAAACAGAGGGTTTGGGGTAAGGGGGTGTGTGTTCTGTGGATATTGTTTTTTTTTTGGAGGGGGGGGGGGGATACTTTGTTCTTACGCCTAATCAAACATTTGAGCATACTGAGTGGAATCCTAAGGAGAAAATACTTGTTCTAAAACCCGCCAATCAAATCATGTTTCTTATTTCTTCGACTACATATTGTTTCTTCTTTCTCACTAAATACATTTTCATGCACGATATGCCAAGACATGAAAAAAGGGAAGATAGCTCATGATTATTTAATCGAGAGTGGGCCTTGATGCAGCGTAAGTTTGCTCCATTGTAAACAAAGCATCACAAATTAGAGTTAAGGAAACAGCCTCTCCATAAGCAAGGTAAGGTTGCATAAATCCTAAACCCCACAGTGGTGGCAACCATGTGCACTGGACAAGGTACATACCTAACCTAACCTTTAATATTATTTTCATCCTAACCCTGAGTAAGATATAAAATTTCCCAAATAAAAATTGTTAAGAAAACCTCACTCTACAGTTCGAAAAGAATGAAATTTATAAGAAAATTTTTTCATTGCCTAAATTTCCATTACCCATTTAAATAAATCAATAGACCTAAAAGGTCTTAAAGCAGTCTTGTTTACAACTCTTTTTTTCTTTCTTTTTTGGAAGACCAGAGAATGACACTTACAAGAAAGTAATAAGTTGGTTCCATTTAGATATTTGAAAAGTAAGAAAGCAATAATTAATTACAGTAAAAGTTTTCGTATTTGGTGCAAAACTGAGATAAAAAGTTTTCTTTTTTTAAAAAAAAAAAAAAAACTCGTTAAGATGAGGTGAATTTTGTTAATAAATTCAAATTACATCAAGCTAGGGGGCACATAATACCTTACCCCTTTATGCAATCTAAAACAATAATTCAATGGAAAAATAACTAAAGATGGCATTAAAAAATAAAAAAGATCCTAAGGATTCCTGAAGCAATTTGGCAATTTTCTTTATATGCCAACTAGATTTTCACCTATGATTAAAAACTCCATGGGTCCCGCAAAAGATGGAACCTTCCATCTATAGGAAAATCTTTCCAATTAAGATAGATCCTTGGTTGTTGGTCAAGGATCCCCTTGTTTGACAAGAAATCTGCTGCAGAATTTGCTTCCCTAAAAACATGGTAAATTTTAAAATCTAATCTTCTTAGAATTCGGAAAATCCTTATCCAAATGTACCACAACTTCCAATTAAGCTCAACTACACCAGTTACCATCTCCTAGAATCCGATTCTACAGAAAGATATGCACAAAAATTTAAATGCAAAGTAGAGAAATTCCACTCACTACATGTAAATCCAACTCAACATGATCATAAAGAAAGAACATGTAAACCACAATAAAACTTGAATTCAAAGATGCACAGTTTAGAAGAAACTAATTAAACATGGACCTCCTCAAGAACTGCTTTAACTTGACGAAGTTTTTCAGCATGCTCAATGTCTTCTGCTTCACTATCACTTTCCCGACCAGTTCTAATTATATTAAAATTTGCAAAATCAGGTAAAAGATATTACTTTTGCTTCAACATAAAACTGAATAAGCGAGTAAAATGCACGAGCTACATTGAAGAAATGTATATTACTTGAAAATTAGCAGAAAATGACAAGTCAAGAAGGTAGATTATTACACTCAAACAGTTACAAAATAGATTGTTCTTAATGTATTTGATTTTCTGAACTTTTTTTTTTTGTTGGAGGGGTGTGAGGGTATCACCTCTAAACTTTTGTTTCATGCATAAGGGGCAAAGCCAAAGTCTGTTCCAGAAAGATGCATCCAGAAAAGAAAATGCAGAAGTTGCCTCGATTGACCCCTGCATATGCCAAAACATAAGAGAAATCTTCGAGACCCAGACTCTCCGCTCCCTTGAGCTCATCTTCCTTCAAGACACTCGGGGCATTCAATATCAATCTATATTATAAGATTCAGTCTTCCTTCAAAGCAAGGCAATTCCAAAACTCATAGAGGCTTTGTTATTAAAAGGTCTTGTTAGGTGTGTACTTGGGATACAAAATTCAGTGTAAGGTTTTTTCTCTACCAAGTGTGAGGCCTACCAAGGGCAGAGGTATATAGGGGCCAGGGGGACATTGGCCCATCCTCAAATTTTTTTTCTTGATTTTATATATATATATTTTAGTTATTTTTCTAGATATAGTTTGTTGTGCCACCCTTAAAATTTGTATTGATTTACAAATTTGTGTATTATTTGGTTCTAAATTCAACATTTTAGGGTGAAATTGCTTTGAATTAACCTACACTTGATCTCTATTTTTCTACAATTGATGATTGATTTGTTTCCATTGGACTACAGTGGTATTATTACACTTCTNAAATACTTGTTCTAAAACCCGCCAATCAAATCATGTTTCTTATTTCTTCGACTACATATTGTTTCTTCTTTCTCACTAAATACATTTTCATGCACGATATGCCAAGACATGAAAAAAGGGAAGATAGCTCATGATTATTTAATCGAGAGTGGGCCTTGATGCAGCGTAAGTTTGCTCCATTGTAAACAAAGCATCACAAATTAGAGTTAAGGAAACAGCCTCTCCATAAGCAAGGTAAGGTTGCATAAATCCTAAACCCCACAGTGGTGGCAACCATGTGCACTGGACAAGGTACATACCTAACCTAACCTTTAATATTATTTTCATCCTAACCCTGAGTAAGATATAAAATTTCCCAAATAAAAATTGTTAAGAAAACCTCACTCTACAGTTCGAAAAGAATGAAATTTATAAGAAAATTTTTTCATTGCCTAAATTTCCATTACCCATTTAAATAAATCAATAGACCTAAAAGGTCTTAAAGCAGTCTTGTTTACAACTCTTTTTTTCTTTCTTTTTTGGAAGACCAGAGAATGACACTTACAAGAAAGTAATAAGTTGGTTCCATTTAGATATTTGAAAAGTAAGAAAGCAATAATTAATTACAGTAAAAGTTTTCGTATTTGGTGCAAAACTGAGACAAAAAGTTTTCTTTTTTTTAAAAAAAAAAAAAACTCGTTAAGATGAGGTGAATTTTGTTAATAAATTCAAATTACATCAAGCTAGGGGGCACATAATACCTTACCCCTTTATGCAATCTAAAACAATAATTCAATGGAAAAATAACTAAAGATGGCATTAAAAAATAAAAAAGATCCTAAGGATTCCTGAAGCAATTTGGCAATTTTCTTTATATGCCAACTAGATTTTCACCTATGATTAAAAACTCCATGGGTCCCGCAAAAGATGGAACCTTCCATCTATAGGAAAATCTTTCCAATTAAGATAGATCCTTGGTTGTTGGTCAAGGATCCCCTTGTTTGACAAGAAATCTGCTGCAGAATTTGCTTCCCTAAAAACATGGTAAATTTTAAAATCTAATCTTCTTAGAATTCGGAAAATCCTTATCCAAATGTACCACAACTTCCAATTAAGCTCAACTACACCAGTTACCATCTCCTAGAATCCGATTCTACAGAAAGATATGCACAAAAATTTAAATGCAAAGTAGAGAAATTCCACTCACTACATGTAAATCCAACTCAACATGATCATAAAGAAAGAACATGTAAACCACAATAAAACTTGAATTCAAAGATGCACAGTTTAGAAGAAACTAATTAAACATGGACCTCCTCAAGAACTGCTTTAACTTGACGAAGTTTTTCAGCATGCTCAATGTCTTCTGCTTCACTATCACTTTCCCGACCAGTTCTAATTATATTAAAATTTGCAAAATCAGGTAAAAGATATTACTTTTGCTTCAACATAAAACTGAATAAGCGAGTAAAATGCACGAGCTACATTGAAGAAATGTATATTACTTGAAAATTAGCAGAAAATGACAAGTCAAGAAGGTAGATTATTACACTCAAACAGTTACAAAATAGATTGTTCTTAATGTATTTGATTTTCTGAACTTTTTTTTTTTGTTGGAGGGGTGTGAGGGTATCACCTCTAAACTTTTGTTTCATGCATAAGGGGCAAAGCCAAAGTCTGTTCCAGAAAGATGCATCCAGAAAAGAAAATGCAGAAGTTGCCTCGATTGACCCCTGCATATGCCAAAACATAAGAGAAATCTTCGAGACCCAGACTCTCCGCTCCCTTGAGCTCATCTTCCTTCAAGACACTCGGGGCATTCAATATCAATCTATATTATAAGATTCAGTCTTCCTTCAAAGCAAGGCAATTCCAAAACTCATAGAGGCTTTGTTATTAAAAGGTCTTGTTAGGTGTGTACTTGGGATACAAAATTCAGTGTAAGGTTTTTTCTCTACCAAGTGTGAGGCCTACCAAGGGCAGAGGTATATAGGGGCCAGGGGGACATTGGCCCATCCTCAAATTTTTTTTCTTGATTTTATATATATATATTTTAGTTATTTTTCTAGATATAGTTTGTTGTGCCACCCTTAAAATTTGTATTGATTTACAAATTTGTGTATTATTTGGTTCTAAATTCAACATTTTAGGGTGAAATTGCTTTGAATTAACCTACACTTGATCTCTATTTTTCTACAATTGATGATTGATTTGTTTCCATTGGACTACAGTGGTATTATTACACTTCTTAATTTTTTTTTGATAACTTTGCGATTTTGATATAAAATATGAAAACTCATCAATATATGTAATAAGCCTCACGTTTCGATAAGAGCTACAATTGATTTTATTTTTTTGTTCATATATGTTATATGTAACAACTTTAGGTGGGGTTATTCCCACCCCACAAATATTCATCGCCCTATTAAAACTTTTATTATCAAACTACTAAGTCCACCCCATCTATATCCAGGAGCGGAGCCAGAAATTTTGACCAGTGGGGGCACAACCTAAACCATATGAATATTAAAATTACTAATGTTCACAAAAATATAATTTCATTAATAGTACGTCAATTTAAGTAACAACTCATATAAATGAGCGCTATACAAAAAAAACCCACAAAAAAAAATCACTATAAATTTATTTATAAGACCTAATCACCGAACAAAAAATTTTGAACCAAAAAATTTGGTTCAATCATATATAGTTAAATTTTAACAACCAATTGAAACAAATGTAAACTATAACTACTCTATTAAACTAAACTTTAGTATAGGAATTACTTAACCAATCACAATAAAACTATTCAAAACACCAAATCAAAATAATTTAATCTAACACATAATGTAGGCATTTAGCCTTTTAAAGGAATTTTTTTGACATTTATAAGTGACCCATATATTTATCAAAATATCATAACTACCTATAAATTTTTTAAAAAAAAATTCAGTGGGGGCCAATCTTTAATAAATTTTAAAATTTTCAAAATTATATTTATTCCCCAAAAATTTTTAAAATTCTAGTGGGGGCAGCTACCCCCCACTTTGGATCCGCCACTGTCTATACCCACCCCATTTCAACTAAGTTCACTCCATGCAATACACACCCCTTTAATAACAAGTTCATATTCTATTTTCTCATAACTAGGATTTCATTTACTATCTACTCTCATATACCCTACACAAAATAAATTTTTCAATATGGATTGATAAGTAAGATAAGTATAACACTTTCTGTATCTGTACATTATCCAAACTTATTATAGCTTCTATCAAAACAACCTCAGTTAAATTAACATGAAGAGCAGCAACTTGTGTTGCTATAGAGTGGGTAATAGTATTAACTTTTCTTTGAATAGACACAATTGGATCAAAAAAATCTATTGAGTATACCTTCTATTGAATTTACAATACTTCATTTTTCCTTCTTGTTGCAAACGTGTGTGTGTGTATATAGCGTGATCATAAAAGGTCTACACCATAGTCTCTGATGGATACTTTTTTTGTAGACCATTAGATTACGATCTAACGATCACCAAACAAAGATACTCAAAATTAATTATCTAAACCTACCAAATTTAGTTATTAACTAAATAGGAAATGTCTATGACATATTAATTGTTATCTAGTCATATTAGGAAAGTCTATTTAGGTTTGTGAAACTTAATATTTTAACATATTAATTGTGATCTAGTCCTATTAGGAAAGTCTTAAGGTTAATATAAAAAAAAATACAAACTACTTTTAAATATTAATGGATCGACCCAATGACCCGAATAATTTTTATCTTTTCCCATCTAATTTATTATACATGTTTGGGTTAAAAATATCACAATCAAACTCATCTTCTCTCATGTTTCCCTTCAATTGCTTCGGCTGCTTCATTGTTACTGCATGTTGATAAGGTTTTAGGTTGTAATGCATCCCTATGAATAAAAGTAGGGTCGGATTTTTTAAAAATTTTAACTTGATTATTGTTTCATACGCAGATTATATAACAAGATAGTTCTCAATTACTTTTTTAGATTTTTTATGTGTTTAATTTGCAGTAGGAACAAATCAATTTTTTTTTTTTTTAAATTTTGAATTGGAGCATAAACAAATCAATTTCATGTTGGGTTTTATAATAAAAGGATGGTGGCAATGCATTTTGATAAACAATCCTAATTTTAATTTAAATTTGTCACTTAGATACATCAACGTTATCAAGCCTTCTAGTATAAATTGGGTTGATTAGAAGCAAAAGAGAGAAAAATAAAGAGGACAAACTGATAATTTGGGCAAAAAAATAAGAGGACAAACTGATAATTTGGGCAAAAAAATAAGAGGACAAACTGATAATTTGAGCAAAGATTAAGTAAAACCCACCCAACAATGATGTACCCTAATTGAACCCACAAAATGGGTCAACTCATGACATATGTAAAAAAGGTCAAAAAAATTATTTATTAATGTTAAAATATTAAGTTTCACAAAACTAAATAGACTTTCCTAATATAAATAGATCACAATTAATATGTTGTAGACATTTCTTATTTAGTTAAGAACTAAATTTGGTAGGTTTAGATAATTAATTTTGAGTATCTTTGTTTGGTGATCGTTAGATTGTAATCTAACGGTCTACATAAAAAGTATCCGCTAGAGGCTACAATGCAGAGCTTCTATGTTTACGCTAGTCTCTCTCTCTCTCTCTATATATATATGTATGTATGTATGTAAACTCTGAATCAAAAATAATTAAGCTTCACAGAATCAAAAATGAAATCACAGCGCACATGAAATCAAACGAAAAATTAAACCGAGAACTNCAAAACATCAACAATTGAATTAAAATATATTTTTTCCATAAACTATGCCAAGATTTGATCTTCACATGTCCAAACAATTCTACACATTTATTGTTTCATAGATACAGATGATCAGAAAAAATTTNCTATATATATATATATGTATGTATGTATGTAAACTCTTAATCAAAAATAATTAAGCTTGACAGAATCAAAAATGAAATCACAGCGCACATGAAATCAAACGAAAAATTAAACCGAGAACTATTACTAACATGTATCTTACTAAGAAAATCCATATTGAAAAAGCTCTTTCGTGTAGGAAATATGAGAGGAAATAGTGAATGAAGCCCTAGTTTTAAGAAAATAGAAGGTGGACTTATTTTAAAGGAGTGTGGATAGTATAAGATGAATTTAGTTAAAATGGGGTAGATATAAAAGGGGTGGATTTAGTAGTCTGATTATAAAAACTTTAATGGGATGGGAATGGATATTTGTGGATTAGGAATAGCCCCACCCAATAACTTTTTGACTTTTTTTATTTAATGAGTTTTTATTATGAAATATGACATAATTAATATAAATGTGTCGCTTTACCTTTATTAATTAGGAGAAAAAAAAGTTAAAGTCAGGGTGGCTCGAGACAAATCGATGTTCAAGACAAACATATTCTAAATTTAAAAAAAAATTAGCTACTATATGTGTGTGGGAGCGCGTGTGTGGAAAGGGGGGCACAATCAATCCTAGAAAGACAATTTTGTAAAATTATATCTAGACACCTTCAATAGAGTTTGATTTACTTTGATTTTTTTTTGTGAATCAAGTGTAATTGCCAGGTAATTTTAACATAAATATTTGGTTAAAAGTAATATTGTTTGGTAATGACTTTTTTCCTTTTCATTTAGAAATTACTTTGACCGTAGGCTTTTATTTTTTTCTGGGTAGCTTAGATTTTTATCGAAATTAGATTTAAGATCTTTATCATTTTAGTAACATATATAAAAAAAAGATTGTGCCCACCACTCTTAAACCAGTTCTTGGCTCTGCCCGAGGCCTACACACAGTGTACTTGGCTTCCATTTTCTTTTTATATCCACCTTTAACTTTTAAAGTCACCTTGATGTGTATTTATAAAATAATTCTTTTCTGTTTCTTTTTGTATAAGTTTCTTGATCGAACTTTGTCAACCTTGTTTTCTACAATTTTAGGCAGTCTTCAAAAAAAAAAAAAATCAACAATTGAATTAAAATATATTTTTTCCATAAACTATGCCAAGATTTGATCTTCACATGTCCAAACAATTCTACACATTTATTGTTTCATAGATACAGATGATCAGAAAAAATTTAAAAAGGTTTCAGAAGGTCATGACTCATGGCTCACTACAGGGGTCTACAAATAGCCAAACACTCCCACCTTTTTCAACTATGAAATTTGAGCAAGTCATGCATAAAACTATTCAAACTTCTCTTTGTGGGATAAACTTCAAAAAGGGGGACAGAGTTTGCTGAAAATGAGCCATATAATTTAAAGTTAAATCATTATTTGCAAAAGGATTGATACCTAGCACGCGGTACTAGAATTCGTGTGGCATCTAACAAATCTTGCAACTGTACTGCACTTTTGAGTTTTGTCTGTGAAGACCGAGAGAGAAGGTAATTAGTTCTTGTTAAAAGATATAGATATCTGACCAAACATTAAAAGGATAATGATGAGAAAAGAAACACCTCGGATCTAGGTCTCCCCCCATTGTATTTCAGCATCAAATTTAACAGCTTTTCCTCAGTAACCTTCAACTTCACTTTCTGTTTGGGAGTTCTATCACCACTGATCAAATAAGCCATCATTATAGAGGGAAAAAAATGCCACAAAAATTGAGGAAAACAGCAGGGTATATATCTTACTGACGAATAATAGCAATTACACAGCGTAGCTCCTCGGACTGCCCAGATGTGTCTATAATCCCACTTCCCTGACGTGTTAGTCCCTCAGAAGGTTGAACTGGTTCATTGACCTTCCATGGCAAAATTGGTGGAATTGTGGATGAAAGATGGGGAGCTTTTGCATCTAGAAACATCTTCCTCAAAACACAAGCGGCATCATCATAATACCTGTAGTCAGCAAATTGAGACACAATAACTAAATTTGACAGCCAAAAAAAAATGAAAGCACCACGTAATCAGAAACATAGCAAAGCATACAAGAATACAGGTTCAAATTGTGCATATACACACTTGCCTTTAATTAGACGAGAGGTTGAACCAAAAAGAACCAGCTCTCATAAAACCAGTCCAACAATGATTTAACCACTTGGCCTTTGACATGAATATAAACATGATAAAAATAACCAAAGATAAAGAAAAGGAAATGAAACCTTCATACAGGTAGTAAAAAGATTCTGATGCCAATATAGACAAGTGTTAATTCAGAATCACATTACTGCAAGATGGATTTTTCAAAAAGATGGCAAATGAACCAAATACTGAACTGATGAATTCGTCATTCAACTACAATAGTGCATGTATTAAGCATGATCTCAAGACCCAAATGCTAAAGAAACATCATAACTAAATTAGGTTTCCATTAACTGAGGATGCTAAGAAGATTAGATTGGGTACAGACCTAATTTTTAGGACTACTAGCAGNATGCCCCATCACATTCCAGAAAAATAGTGCATGTATTAAGCATGATCTCAAGACCCAAATGCTAAAGAAACATCATAACTAAATTAGGTTTCCATTAACTGAGGATGCTAAGAAGATTAGATTGGGTACAGACCTAATTTTTAGGACTACTAGCAGAAAGTGAATGCCGTTGGATTTGAACCCTCAGCCTTGTGGTTATTAGCCCTTGTGTGTGTGTGTGTATATAAGGATATATCAACACGTTGACTTTGCATACTGTTGGTCTTATGTAACTTCCAGAAAGCACCAACAAATTGACTTTGCACATTACTGCTCCAATATAATTTTGACAGGAAATTATAAATCCACTTCTATGAATAAGAAATATATCAAGCAATATGTCCACAATGCATGAAATGATTGTTTTGTCTTACTTATGACAGATTTTAACCTTTGTTTTTGGTCACAATTTGGATTATTTCCCTAGAAAGGATACATTCTTCAAGGGCAGCACAACTATTTATTTATTTATTTTGGAAAAGAAGGGCCGGGGAGGGGGGGTGTTTACTGGAAGTGGGCAGCAAAATGTTGATCTTTGTTAAAATATAAAATACAAACAAGACACATTTTTGTGGTTGCATGAGTACATTACACAAGGAGATGCAAAAAAGAAGCCGGAATGAAAACATAATGAAACAATATGCCCGTGCTCATTTACTGATGAAAGGCTTTGTCAGGTATACTGTTCATATTTCTGNGTGGTTGCATGAGTACATTACACAAGGAGATGCAAAAAAGAAGCCGGAATGAAAACATAATGAAACAAGATGCCCGTGCTCATTTACTGATGAAAGGCTTTGTCAGGTATACTGTTCATATTTCTGTCATACAATTGCTATCCGTACCATACCCTAAACAACAGGGAGGAAAAAAGAGGCGTGTATTTAATTGAATGTTGTGTAATGATAAAACTCCCATAATTAGATTTTCAAAGAATCAAATTAAGAAGAATTACTTGTAGGAGTTCTTTACAAAACTCCATCCATTCACGTCACAGACATATGAACGCCCCTCACAACGCAAGAGATCAAACCCACAAACCTGCAAGTTTATGAACAGATGCACATTATTTAAAGATAAAATGATTTCTTCAAAGAAGAATGGTCTTTCTTGTGCATGTGCATGTGTGTGTATTGATGAGGTGAATTCCACTCAACCCAAATTTTTCGCAATGGATGACAAAAGTTGTTTGTTGGTACTCTTACAAAAGGTAATGCTACATTAAACTAAGCAAACCAGGTTATAAAATACTAATACTCGAATTTCTTCTCCTTTCCTTTGTGGCCAGAAGAACAGAATTCTTGAACTCTTTGGTAACCAATCTACATACACCAAAGAACTCAACAACTCACAGTTTTCTATGCAAAAAGATAAGGAAAAGAAAAGGCAAATCCAATTGAAATAATGTCAAGAAGTTTGATGACATGTATATCCTATACTTGGAATGCACCAGAGCAATTTTTGTAGACAATAATTATCTGAAATTGTGCTATTGACCTGTTTTCCTTCTGAAAGTCAAGAACCCTTAATGGATAACAACAAAAAAGCAACGTCCACGTTCTGGTTTGGAAAAGCTGCCAGCTTTGAAATATTGATAAAATTGGTTTACCCAGATCATCTTCCTAAGGCAGCCAAAACAAATCACAAGTTGATGATGATGATAATGCCTTAGTAGGTGAAACAAATGATATATTTTTGCGGATTAATAGAGCCTTGACAGTTTGAACAACTACCAATATACTTTTTAAAGGATCAAGGTGACTTACTGCTTGCCTAAACGCAATGCAAACTTCTCTTGCCATCTGCTTCTCAGTAGGAGTAAGCAGAACTGGATACCTGACCTGCCAAAGTAAGTAACAACTCTTGGATCATTTCACCCAGAAACCAACAGTATAAGCGTTCATCCAATCAATTACTGCTTCACGGACACAAAACCAATGATCACAACTTCAAGTGAATAGATGTCAAGCAGAACATGCAAGGTACCAAGGCGTCCAAATCAAAAGGTATAGGTAGGAGTATAACAAATTATTTACTTCTTTGCCATCAGGATTTCTCATAACAACCCCATCAACAACAGGAGACTTCCTTGCCTCTGCATGTGCATACTCTGGGCCAACTGTATACACCTACAAAAATATGAAAACACACTCAACAGCTTTTTCTATGTATCACATAAAATGGTTAAACGTTTAAAGAGTGAAGAAAACATGATGCTGCATATCATCAAATATAAGTAGTAAAAACATAAAGAACTGATATGAATGTGGAAGAACAGGCTACACATCTGTCTCCTCGGTTGTGCTTATAAAGGTCTAATATGCATGAGCAACAAGAGGATAACATGCACTTGAATGATATAGACAGCCCCTTCCTACCCAGAACACCTTCCCACCGTAAAGGGCTGAAGAGATACATTTCCTAGTAGAAACCACGTATGCTTCTTCATCTACTCCATAAATGCAATTAATCAATTTAAAGAGCAAACAGAAATATTTTTCTTGGTGATCCTTCTAACATCTAGTCTTGTTGGAATCCCCTTAGTGACATTATATATGTAAATGCTGAAAGTCCACTCATAAAAAAATGTCTTCCCTTTAAGTGGAGCAGTCATTAATCATCTGATTTTTCAGAACCTAGTGGCACACATATATTCGTAAACAAGATTGATTAGTTGGCCAGCTATCATGTGAATAATCTGGGTGGGAAGATGCTAGAATTTCATGGTGCAAGGATCGCTTTGAGGGCTTTAGGTTTAAGGCATAGGATCTTATGCAATAAGGGCGGCTAGGATCTAAAGATGCAGCAGGATTGAATCCTAAGAACATTAAATCGGAATAGGTGGAATTTATATAAAAGAGAGTATATTGACCTATTCAAGCAGAAAGCTTGATTTTGAAAGGGCAAACCCTCACCCAACAACACCACAGCTGGTAAGAAAAAATGTAAACCCCAACTATTCTTTTTCATTCACTCCTTCAAATACCTACTCCTAATACAAAAGAAGAGATATGTTGGACCTAAATGATTTAAGCGCCCAAGGAATAGATATTGCTTGATTTCAAGACATTGAATGCGATAAAACTTCCTAAAAAATTTACATAAGTGATTTCCAATTGAATAACCATAGAAGAGCCTAGTGTTGGTAATTACCATAGCATGACTGTAACTGCTAACAGAGTTTGGCCAGTAATTTTTCAACAATGCTGATACAGTAACCTGTGGCCAAGAAGTGCCATAATTTTTCTTGTCCAGGTGACATTGGTCCTGAATCAAATCTCAGCTTCTAAATGGCTTCTGTTCCAAGGCATCAGTTTGTGTTTAGCAGTGTCAAACCAAAATACCCAACAAGCATTAGCTCTCCTTGAAAAGGAGGTGTCTTAGTCACACCTTCTGGCTAACTTATTATGATTTCACTCCGGTGATTAGCCCTGCCTTCGGCATCTCCCTCATTGTGGTTAAGGTAATGAGTCATAGTGGACTTCAATTTTCTCTTCNCCACACCTTCTGGCTAACTTATTATGATTTCACTCCGGTGATTAGCCCTGCCTTCAGCATCTCCCTCATTGTGGTTAAGGTAATGAGTCATAGTGGACTTCAATTTTCTCTTCCCAGCTATAATTCCTCTCCACTCATAACACCTTCAACAAGAGGCTTCCAAGGGAGTTTGGCACAGTTAAGCACAGACAGCATCTTGGTGATAAAGATACAGGATGCACTTTTTTCCCTAAACCAAATAGAAGGGAGATACAAGGAAAGCAGAGACATATGGCCCCATCAGGAGGCCAATCCATGAGATGGAATCAGTTTAGATATATCAGGGCTCATTTGTAGTGGACAATAGGAATGAAAGAGGAAATGGTCGCCTTTTGGCATTATAGATGAGACATGAGAGTTCACACAAATTTTCACTTCTTTGTAGTTATCTAAAAGCGTGTAAATGAAGTTCTATTTCTCTAATGCATAAAATTACTGTGTACTACTTCAAAGCCAACAAAATAATCTGGATCTAAGTCCTTAATACTTCAGATCCATGCAATCAGATCTTTGAATTTGTTTAATTTCATTTCACAGATATTGTGCAATGTAAACTATCTTCATTTAGATTCCCAATGAAGGTACAAATTTGTGTATGAATCATTGCTCAGGGCAAACTTAATATTTATGGTGTGCTTATAAGGAGACCTAAGATTTGTCTTTCACCACATTGGTGTGTTATGTGTAAAGGTGGTGGTGTTGACCATTTATTTCTGCATTGTCCTATTGCATTCTCATTATGAAATAAGATGTTTAGACTTGCTGGGCATTGTTGGGTGGCACCACGAAGTATGTTTTTAATGTTATGCTTGGATGTTTTGAGTGGAGGTGGGAATAGGAGGTGGAAGACTCTTTGGTGTTGTGCGTGGAATGCTTTGGTTTGGGTGATTTGGTTGGAAAGAAATGCAAGAATTTTTTATGATAAATGCAAGGAGGTTGAAGAACTTTGGGAATAGATTTTACTTTTTGACTTCCTTTTGGACCTCTGTGTCTAAAGAGTTTGAAGATATCTCTCTGTCTTACATTATTACAAGCTGGACAGCGTCATGTGGGTTGCAGTGAATTGTATTTGCAAAGTTTTTTTCCTTTTTGTTTTCCCTGTTTCATGTCTTAGTTTTTGGGTGTCTTGTCCAACTTTGACATTCCTTTTGTACTTTTGTTTTATGATTAAATCATTGTTTCTTATCAAAAACAAAACAAGTTGTTTGCCTCTATAAGGAGAAATCAACATCTTTCATGCAAATAGTCAATGTCACATCCCTATCCTTCAAAGGTTCCTTTAGTTTCATCTCACATTCTATATTGAGGATGTAACAATATTGAACTCAAGGCACAGGTTCAGGAATACTAACAGGACTGACTTCAAGATATAAATGCAACTAGAATAACATATATTCATCCTCGATAAAAAATCTGAACAAATCAAGAAATCCATTCCCTGAAGACTATAGAAGCATAGATTATACAACCTTCACATCTGTTCCCCCTGTTGGCATAAATTCCTCATATATATAGGAGCCTTCTCGTCTAACTCTTCTAACCTCTGGATGGAACTCACTAGACCGATTACCAACCTGAAATCATAGAAAAAAAATATGAATCTGGGGAGCATGAATTTTCACATCACTTATGAACACTAAAGCGCAGCAAATCTGGAATCCCTTAGAAAGACAATAACTCCAACAACAATTCTGCAAAATTTCCAAGAGGGTAAGAACAGGGTACATTAAAGCACATTCCCATCAGCAAAGCTTTACAGGAAAAAAGAAACCAACAGCTTATTCTAAATGCTAGAAGCTGGATTTCTTGCTTAAAGTGAGCATCAACCCAAAAGTCCGAAACTAGAGTCACTCTACCTACCACATCATCAGAGTCACCTTAATCATCCAATGTTTGGTTTCCATAGAAGACCCTCAAGGTGTATTAACATGCTACAATAACTTGGCTAGAATAATAGCAGCCATGGCCAATTAAGATTTCACAAACATGAGCATTTGAACAGAGCTGGCATGGTGAATCCAAAACACAAATCCATATGTCACCAAAACAAATCCAATTTTCTTACAGGCTAGCTTATGCATTGGATGACATACACACACATCCCCAAATTATATAATACTTCAATGCAGTTATACAAATTTTAAACCCACTCCTCACCCCCAAAAAGGAAAAAAGGCAAAAGGTATCAACCAAGCTCCAAAGATACTTTACAATAACTTTAACCACAATTCATCTCAAAACCAAATAAAAGATAATAGCAAAATCCTCACCTTCCGGAATAACTCTTTCATGCCACCACCAGCTGAACTAGGGTAATATATCATTATACTGTGGTCATCACCTTCACAAAAAAAAAAGATTTATTATTCTCTTTGAAATAATAAAGATCTATCACTAACACAATTACAAATATAAGCAGAAAGAATAATAAGCAACTGGGCACCATTGCTTAACAAATGTATAATTGGTCAACAAAGCAGCAGCATTGTACGATCTAACAGTAAAATTAGACAAAGAGCATACCTTCAACTGGCTTCTCCACAAAAGGCTTCCAAAAACGATTACCATAAACCTCAACAAAATCTTCTTCCTCAACAAAATAATCCAACTCTTGATATGGAACTTCTCTATTTATGAGGGCATATCTTGGAACATGTATTCCAAACATTTCAAGACGCTTGAATTCCCCACCAAAAAAATGCAAATATTATTGTCAAAAGGATAAAAAAAAAACAAATAAACAACTTAAAAATAAAGAAATAATTTTTGTGCCCAGTTTAGATCAAAGTAAAAGAAAACAAAATCAGAGAGCAAAAAATATTGAAGTAATGAATATGCTTCTCTTTGATCAAGTAAGGGTCAGGAGCATTGGGTTAAGAAGGCCCAAAGGATAGTGGAGCAGATAAGCAAAAGAGGAAGAGGGAAGGGCAACAAGCAATTACATTGAGGATCTTAGGCATGTAGACTAAAGAGAGGGTGCATAACAAATTATTATAGATTTTACAAGGTTTTTTTTTATAACTTCACTTCATCATAATAATCAAGTAAGAAGAATGTAAGTAAGTTTGGAAGACAAGTAAAGCATAGATTTATAATTATCTAAAAGGTCATAGTACCTGTCTGTAAGTGTACGCGTGCGTCTCTGTTTTTGTGTGTCTGCTGTGTACATGATATTGGTAGTAGATATGGTTTCATAGGAGGTGCGCTCCAGTGATATGAGCAGTGTTGGCAAAATTTTGGGTTTGGTTTATATGCAAATTGATGGTGGTTGATTAGGTACTGTGGGTGGTTGTGGTCCGCTCCACCATGGGGGTGTTCAGGTATGGTTTTGAAGATATTTTCAGGGTAGAGACCACAACATGGTTCATCTTGAGAACCGAGTAGCATGGAAATTCAGAAAGATTAACACTCACATCACTGTCACAATTTATTGGGCTGTGTTATAATAACATCTGATGGGCCAGCAACAACAGGATTGACCACTATGCAGAGCACAGCAAAAGCCAGTCGTTGAAGCTATCATGGACCACGGATTACCCACGAAAGAGAAAACTCATTGAGGGCAGGAAGACTAGAGACGGAAAAAGAGTGAAAGGAAAACCATCATACAAAAACTTAGCATGAAATAGGGGATGAACCCCTTACCCGTCAAAGTAAAACACAAAACCAATGAATCGATGCCATTCTCTATGTTTATGCTGCTAAATCATAACATTCTGCCAAGAAGGGTTATTCAACAAAGAACGTAAACGCAAAGGAATTTTAAGGCATTATCCTCTCTCATAAAAAGAAACTATTGAAAAAAGGAAGGGCAAAAGTCTAGTGGAGAACAAAGAGTTAATAGTAAAATTCCCTCGACTTCCAAAATTCAGTTTTTATTGTCTCCTCCTTCCCAGATAAGGGAAGTAGCCAAAAGCTTAGGCAGGCAAAAGCAGCCAAAACCTTAAGCAGGCAATCGTTCATTTTTCCTCTTAAGGTCGGCCACCAGAAGGGAGGACCAAACTCAATAATTTTGTAATTAAGTACCAAGACCTGTATATTCTTCAATGATATTAAGAGAGGGAAATTTCGCCCCCAAAGGACTCATCCACATTACTATCTGTCCCAATCCCAATCGTCCCCTTGCCATTACACACCTCATCATAACTCTAAAACACCCTCCTAATAAAGGCTGTGACCTAATAATCTACCAATGTTGGTGTTATGGCATCAATTGGCAAAGATGACATCCCACCACAGCCTACGCAACTTGGTAAACAACCAAAAAAAATAATTTCCCAACTGTGTATTCCAAAAAAAGAAACAATACATAGAAAAAACTTTTAGACATCCCAAACAAAACTTTGCCAATTACTTTCCCCTTTTTTTTCTGAATTTGAACCCTTAGAAGAAGAAAAATATCAAAAGATATACCTCATATACTTTCCTTCGATCATGAAGAAGATGCTGTGGCTCCAACTCATTCACAAGGAAAGGCCTGAAACAACAGATTTTGCAGAGTCGTGACCAACTGACTTCTTGTTATGATAACTGCAAAACATAAAGCAGTCTTCCAAGATTTGGCTGACCAGGTACATCAAGCATATGGTAAATAGAAAGCATGTCACAAAGCAGGACTCCTACAAAAGAGAAACACAAACCATATGCAGATGCTTCCTCTGTACACAACCGTAAAGAGCACCACATAAAGACACAATAGTACTGGAGGAAATAATTACTAAAGATTTTTTCATGTAAAAAGAGTCACAAAAGATTTCTGTANAGTAAAGAGGACCACATAAAGACACAATAGTACTAGAGGAAATAATTACTAAAGATTTTTTCATGTAAAAAGAGTCACAAAAGATTTCTGTAAGTTACATTAGAAGAAACTTGCACTTTTAAAATGTAAAGAAGTGTTATCACACAATTAACTCCAACAAAGAATCCTTGTATATACCCCAGCCCTTCCCTCTCTTCAGGCAGGAGAGAAAAGAACCACTACGTCACACTCAGGCTCCCTGTCATACTTTAATCCTTCAATGATCCAATGACAGAAAAGATTAAGCAAGAGCATAAGCATTGCCGATGTCAAATATAAAGGAATAATCAGCACAGAAACAGGTAATGAATAACTAAATGGTCCGCACATTCTTGTCACACTTGCACAAGAAATATTATGAGGCACCCCTCATCTACAACTGTTAGGATAATACATAGAGAAAACATTATCCCGCCGCTGAGATGTCCAGCGGATTCCTGGGCCTTAACGAATGGCCGGCCACCTTTTACCGCTTGAAGAGCAAAAGGCCCGGGCATAATCACACCATATTACAGACAAAGAAAAATTAGACACACGCACACACACACACACACACATATATATAGAGAGAGAGAAAGAGTCCACATCCTGCATATATCAATTTACCACCAAAAGCAGCTGGTGCCCTCAGAACAGTATGACAGTTCAGAATAACCATCTGCCACCAAACTTGAGCAGTCCAACATAAAACAAATATATTGATCCTCAGATTCTCCTAAAAGACCACTACTCAATCCAGAAGAACAGATATAAAGACCAATGCATCNTATATATATAGAGAGAGAGAGAGAGTCCACATCCTGCATATATCAATTTACCACCAAAAGCAGCTGGTGCCCTCAGAACAGTATGACAGTACAGAATAACCATCTGCCACCAAACTTGGGCAGTCCAACATAAAACAAATATATTGATCCTCATATTCTCCTAAAAGACCACTACTCAATCCAGAAGAACAGATATAAAGACCAATGCATCNTAGACATCCCAAACAAAACTTTGCCAATTACTTTCCCCTTTTTTTTCTGAATTTGAACCCTTAGAAGAAGAAAAAGATCAAAAGATATACCTCATATACTTTCCTTCGATCATGAAGAAGATGCTGTGGCTCCAACTCATTCACAAGGAAAGGCCTGAAACAACAGATTTTGCAGAGTCGTGACCAACTGACTTCTTGTTATGATAACTGCAAAACATAAAGCAGTCTTCCAAGATTTGGCTGACCAGGTACATCAAGCATATGGTAAATAGAAAGCATGTCACAAAGCAGGACTCCTACAAAAGAGAAACACAAACCATATGCAGATGCTTCCTCTGTACACAACCGTAAAGAGCACCACATAAAGACACAATAGTACTAGAGGAAATAATTACTAAAGATTTTTTCATGTAAAAAGAGTCACAAAAGATTTCTGTAAGTTACATTAGAAGAAACTTGCACTTTTAAAATGTAAAGAAGTGTTATCACACAATTAACTCCAACAAAGAATCCTTGTATATACCCCAGCCCTTCCCTCTCTTCAGGCAGGAGAGAAAAGAACCACTACGTCACACTCAGGCTCCCTGTCATACTTTAATCCTTCAATGATCCAATGACAGAAAAGATTAAGCAAGAGCATAAGCATTACCGATGTCAAATATAAAGGAATAATCAGCACAGAAACAGGTAATGAATAACTAAATGGTCCACACATTCTTGTCACACTTGCACAAGAAATATTATGAGGCACCCCTCATCTACAACTGTTAGGATAATACATAGAGAAAACATTATCCCGCCGCTGAGATGTCCAGCGGATTCCTGGGCCTTAACGAATGGCCGGCCACCTTTTACCGCTTGAAGAGCAAAAGGCCCGGGCATAATCACACCATATTACAGACAAAGAAAAATTAGACACACGCACACACACACACACACATATATATATAGAGAGAGAGAGAGAGTCCACATCCTGCATATATCAATTTACCACCAAAAGCAGCTGGTGCCCTCAGAACAGTATGACAGTTCAGAATAACCATCTGCCACCAAACTTGAGCAGTCCAACATAAAACAAATATATTGATCCTCAGATTCTCCTAAAAGACCACTACTCAATCCAGAAGAACAGATATAAAGACCAATGCATCTTAGAGGTCGCTTCTCACATCCAAATGTATAAGAAGCTACATCTTTCAATATTACCAACCACAAATTCAATCACCCGCATAAAAAGAACTCAATAGTATAGCATCATCGACTTCGTTAAAAGTAATTACATACTGCCTTTCCATAATTGACAGTAGTTATTCTCCTCCATAATCTTTCTTTGGCAAGAATATTTTGACACCAAAATAGATTTAAAGTACTTGCTCCTTTGGCAAGAATTCTTCCAGTTCGAAATCGAAATAAATGAATCTCAAATAGATAAAAGTAGAAATTCTGCTACAAATGACTATGAATTATCTTAATTGTTTGTCATTAATAAAATAATAAATGAACTGAAAAAATAAATATGTAGGTACAGAGGATTTAATGTTCTGTATAAATATAAATTCAAAAATGTTCAAGAAATGTAAGTTCCCCCATTTTTATGTTCTTTTTTCCCTGAGGAACTTCATCCATCCATAAGGTAGATGCTTCCTTCTCCCATATTTGTCCATAAATCTATACTTGTCCAGTCAATTTTCTACCCTATTTCAAATTATTCCTTCCTAAATATTTCCTAGATTCGTTGTTAGCAGTATAAAATGTATATTTTGGAAGTCACTTGGTTCTGCATATTCAATGCCAATGGTCCTATCTGTGACAATTAAATGAATGTCAAGGCCACTGAATAAATATTGGTTGTGATGGAGGGGGAGATAAAACTTACTGCAACGGCAAAAGTTTTAGTTCTACACCGGAGTTGTTCTGGTGCAGTGAAGCAAACAAACATAGAAATAATAGTGGCAACTATGAGATGGCGCATGGAATACTGTTGCTGGTAGTGTGGTGAAGGTGATTGCAACTACAGAAAGGGCAACAACGACATGATAGCAATACACAGAAGAAAAAGACACTGACCCAAAAATGATGGGTTCAAGTGTAAGTTTGAGTCCCCAGGCATTCAGCAAAAATGGGATCCTAGATGTCATGATTAACTTCAACTAGGTGGGAGAAGGGTCGAAGACTTTCAGCAAACTTTAACTTCTACTAACAATCAGGGGATTAAATAGTCTAGAAGTAATGAAGGTAACATTTGCATCCACAGATTTTGATGGTGCAGATTTTTCTAACAGTATTAAACCTTGGCATGATCTTGCAAGGTCTCACTAGTAAATGGGTGCATTTTTGATATTCAAGTTGTTTGTTAGATAACATGAAGGCACCAATAGGTATTAGCCGAAACAAAAATTTGGAAAATAGCTAAACAAGCTGAAGAAAACTTTTTTTTTCATGTAATAATGGAATAATCCAATGAACCTTGGCTCATTGCTAAGGTTACTCCATTTTGATCTATGTGTTCGATTGACCCTCCACAAGTGAGAGAATTGTCACATTCATAAAACCCTTCCTTAACCATGTTGTGGCAGGAGTCTCGTGCACTGGATTATCCTTAATAAATGAATAATCTAGACAACATTTATGTTGTTATATAAGCGTTGTGGTGGCTAGCATCAAGGCCAGTAGGCACATGTATGTATAGATTAGCTTCGTTTTAGAGACATGTGCATAAGTACACACATTCAATTTCCTATATACTTAGTTCTACACTTTACCATTGTAGTTAGCTGTTAGCACCTCATTTCTCTGCAGCTGTAACAACAAAATCAATATCTTCTTAAACTATCTCACAATCTCTAGTTTCATTTGCAGTATCTAAGTATTTTAGGGTTGTGTCCTCTGTATAGAATGCAGTCAATAAATAATGTTTGTATGCTTATAAAAATATAATAACATAAAAGAAAAAGGAAAATGTAATAGTAGACTTACTTTCTTAATGAAGCATATGCTTCAACCTTTTCAAGGGGATACCCAGAGGAATGGAAGGCAATCAAGCAATCACATATTGGCCAGCTGTAATACATTGATAAGAATTTGGTCACTCATAGTAACTAAACTGCATTCCAACACCAAAGATGTCTTTCACTCCAGAAAATATAGTAAAACTAATAATGTGAATACGTTTTTCGGCTCCATAGTAACTACGAATGACTATAATTGCTTGGTAAAAAACACTCAATAAATCGAACATGACCAATATCTTCAAATGCAAGACACATAAAATATTATTTTTTATGTTTATCTGTTAGAAACCATAAAACTATGTTGGTTTATGACAAACACATAAATGTTAGAATTTATAGGTATTTAGTTTCTTACACATTTATTCTGACAGGTACGTGTTGTGTTAACCTTTACCACCCAAAAAAAATGAGGGGAAAATGGAAAATATTGTAATGCCTATGATACAACATCATAAATGAAGTAGAGATGCATCAGACATGTAGACATTAATGAGTTGGGAAGGGAAATTAGTCAAACTGGCATTCAAGTAGATAAAAGCATGTGCATCATTATTCAACAAACCTAATTTTTTTTTTCCAAATCTCTTCATTGATATTTTAACAGAAAAGGGTGGGTACAACACAATAACAAATTCATAAAAGCAACGTTTGACAACACAACACACAGTGCAGTGCACATGACAATTTTCTGCTGACTGTACAAAATTGTACCTCTCTATTGGATGCTCAAGAATTACCTTGTCACCAAAATGCAGAATCTGCAATAAAATAGGACACAAGGATTTCATGAGAAATAGAACCAGCGTGACCGCACCACCATAAGAAACTTATTCATCATATATAACATGTTCAAAACAGCTTGCGACATTGGAACGTGATAATTCTGTATAATGAAGAGAAAACAAATAAAGGAATGCACTGTCACGTAAACTAATCTAATCACCTACAACCTATTTTCCTTTTTCACAGTCCGAAATCCACCTTTATTATTTCCATAAACAGTAATAATAACACAGTAAACTGTGAATAGTGTGATTCAATACCTCAAATTCTCCGAATGCTTGTAGTCTTTCCAAAATCTGCCCCATTGGAGCAGAAAAAACCTAATATTACGATTGAAAATAAACAAAATGAATGACAAAGCCAAATTAAAAAACATATAGTGATTGCTACACAATATACATGTCATGCATGCTTTTTTCGGTTTTCTGTGATTTGAGAAACAAGAACAGAACCAGAACCTCGGAGCCGCATTTCACCTTCTTTTCCATTACGCATACACCAATCTTTATCTTTTTACCAACATTCCCCTCCTCCGCCTCCATCTCTCTACGCAGAGCCGAATCCGAATGCCTTTCTCTCTCTTCAACTTCGCCGCTCAATCTCACTCTCACGTTTACTGCTCAAACGATAAAACACATCAACTTATACGGAGAGTTATATTATACATACGTACATACATATCAGAAATAAAAAAGTTATGTGAAATACATAACAAAACCACCGCAAATTGTTACCAGAGATGCAAGAATCACGGAAAAGGAACCAAAACCGAAAAGACGATTCAAGACGCGACGTTCTCGCAAGCTCCGGGAGGCTTTTCAGAAGTAGAAAGCTAGGAAGTGGAATCACGAGAAAGAACTGTGGAGAGAGAGAGGTGAGACCCGTTATACGACTAGAACATGTATACAAGATGGGGTGTGTATATAAAGGGATGGGTTCGGATATAAAAGTTTGGATTCTTGAATATGCACATAAGGAGGGGGTTGGAGGGGGGACGTGGAAAGGTGTATACGATTTGGCTATGAGCAATGCTATGTGGGTCCCACTATATGTGCCAAGCGGTGTGTGTTACTAATTGTTACTACCACTAATTTTTTCTTTTTGGAAAGCGGAAAAGGTACGGAAAATAATATACAATTTGGCACGTTGAGGGAAAAATTGAGAGCAAAAAATTAGTGACATATACTTTATATCACAAAATATCTAAGAATTCTCGCTTTATANTCTTTTTCTTTTTGGAAAGCGGAAAAGGTACGGACAATAATATACAATTTGGCACGTTGAGGGAAAAATTGGGAGTAAAAAATTAGTGACATATACTTTATATCACAAAATATCTAAGAATTCTCGCTTTATAGCAATTGAAGTGGGGTCAAGCAAAATGTGATGATTAATGTGTTCCAATAATATTATTATAACCGTAATTTTTAGGATCTTTAAGTATTTTTGAATCACCATGTTGCTCTTCTCATTTATCTTTTGATCAGAAACACAAATAATTTGTTTTTAATGTATTATTTTTTTCCTCTCTTTCAAAAACTCCATCAATAAATCTAAAATGAAAAACATGGATTCGTAGAGAATGTCTCTCGAGGAGGATGGTGTCAAAGATTTTTTAGTAGTGGTTGTAGAGAATAATTTGAATGATTAATGTGTCGTAAATTGTAGGGGAATATANTGTAGAGAATGTCTCTCGAGGAGGATGGTGTCAAAGATTTTTTAGCAGTGGTTGTAGAGAATAATTTGAATGATTAATGTGTCGTAAATTGTAGGGGAATATAATTTGAATGGGAAGAGACATAAACCTGAGGATAGTTTAATGAATTCAAACACAATTACTTAGTTACATTTATGTGTTTCATCTACGTATTATTTATATAGTTAATTTCATGCAGATGTCTTAGACATGCAGTGGTTAAAGTGCGAAAAAATAAGGGTTTGTTGATAGTATGATGGGAGGGAATGATGTGTTTTGAAATGGAATAGTTGAATACAATAGGATCATTAAGGGTGAACACAAGAAAGATGGTGATCTAGTGTGTGTGTGGCACTGTGTTAGACAAATTTCATTTTAATTGATTATTCCTAACACATAAAAGGAACATGAAAACATTGTATGCGAATTGCGAAATCAACATTGTCAATTCAATTTTAAACCACTTTGATATTTTTCTTGACAAGAAAGGACATTAAGGGGTTTAATATGATATTTATAATCTTCAAGGGTATAAATTGAAAATTGTTAACATGTTTTGTAAAGTGACATTTTACTTATAACAAATATGAGGGTACTATATTATTGATTATTGTATATAGGATGAGTGAAATTGATTGAAAACGTTTTAGGCTTTCCGCCACCTATTTTTCTGCAACGACGGTTAGTACTTAGTTACCCACCCCACACACAGTCACCGAGAAATCAAGAGCCACCTCCGACTCCGGTCAGCTTTATTCCGCGCGCCATTTTTCGTATAAACTTTTTCCGCGTTCATTCAAATAAATTTTTTCGAGACTACATTCAATGGGATCTAAGAAGAAGCGAAACCCTCCTTCACCCTCCAAACCACCGTCGACGGCCAAGAACGCAACCACAAGCGACGGAGCACCGCCGAATACGATTTCTTCAGACAATCTGCATCAAGAACAAAGTAACGCAGAACAACTCGAATATGAAGCGATCCATGTTGAATGTCATCGGGCTTTTGATGCTCTTAACCGAAGAAATCAAACCAAAGCCCTGAAACGCATCGCCGATGTACGTATTCGCTACGAAAACTCCAGTCTCGCACATCACACTGAAGCCGTTATACACGCCAGAATCGCCGAACAAACCGAAGACCAGTACGCGAGCCTAGAACACTGGAAGAAAGCTCTCGAATCTGCGAAGAAAGCTGTATCGCTTTCCCCCAACTCGATTGAGTTCGCGCTTACATGCGCGATTTTGCTCTCTACATTGGCGAGCAATGATCAAGATCGCAAAGAAGTCGTGGAAGAATGCGAGAGAGGTCTATCATTGTTTAATTTTCTGCCTGTTATAAAAACTTCACGAGATGAGCTTGAGCGAATACAAATAGCATTGAAATCGATTTTAGATAAGTCAAAGATTGGGTGCACAGAGGCTCCAATGTCAGTAAAGGCGGTTGAAGAGAAGAGGAAGGAGATCGAGGCTCGTGTAATTGCTGCCAGACTTTTGCAACAAGGGCCTGAGATGGTTACATCGGATAAGACTTGTGAGTTGACCCCGCCGATTGGCGAACTTAAAGAACCGATGTTGGATGCCGGCAAGATTTCAGAGGTTCGGAGCTTTTGGAACTCTATGGATGTCGAGGAGAAGCGAGCGTGCCTGAGACCAAAAATTAGCGATGTTAAGGACTATTGTGCCAAATTTACGGGTGTTTTGGCTGCAGAGGATCTATTGGGCGGCGCTATCCATCATGCTGAAAATGCTTCTACTTGGAAATACTGGGATTGTTGCATCTGTGATCATAAATCTCTGAACATGGACTTGCTTATCGATCATTTAGAGAAGCAGCATTTGGGGCACCTATTATCAGCAAAATCCAAAGCATTTACGCCACAAAAAATTGATGATCAATCGATGGAGGTGCTTGTGAATGGTATATGGAAGCCTGTGGACACTGCCATGGCAATGGAAATCATTCAAAATCAGTCAAAAGACCTGGATCAGAATTGGCCATTGTCTGATAATTGTGAGCGTGCAAAAACCCTCGAAAGAATCCACAGCATGTTCCAGTTGCTTCTGCGACATGAATGTATTGCTGCGAGCCATCTCAGGAAGGTGATGAATTGCACCATGAAAATGCTGCAGATCGATGGCCTGGACCAAACACCCCTCTGCATCTGTTTTCTGGGGACTTCTCAGCTGAATGAAATTAGTAATCTCTTGCAGGATTTGCTTTTTGAGATAGGTGATTTCGTGGAGGATGAACTTAATTCCTACCCGGAATACGAATCCAAAGAAAGGATAGTTATTTGTGGTGACACATTGTGTGTCCTTTTGGATGGGAGTTTACAGGGCAGGGAGTTTATGAGGTCCACATCTCATAATGCAGCTGCGGATGATGGGTCTGCAACATCTTTTGCTGTTGGTGATCATGAACTAGATGTTCTGCCAGATTGTGATGCTATTGCGCATTGGTTGCATTCGGGTTTTACAATTGAAGACCAGTTAGCATCATGGCCAAACATAAAAAAGTCTAAAGTTCGTCAAGGGGTGGAAATTTATCTGATCCTCGAAAAGGAAATTTCTAGCTTGGAAAACATGTGTATGAGAAAAAGTCAGCATTTGATCCACGACAAAGCATTACATGAAATTCATAGAATCTGCATCGAAGAACTTCACAAAAGGGAGCAAGGTGTAAGCTATGTACCTCAAACTTACGAGTCACTCCTGAAAAAGCTGCAAGAGGAACTTGCTGAGAGGGAGGATATTCTTAGTAGATCTGAGTTGCATCTCATACCAAAAATTCTCCAGGAAGCTCAAGCTGTAAATGTGAATGAGGTTGGATGCAAACAACTGTGATTATTGCTGTTTTTTGTTTTTTGCAAATTTGCATGTGAACAAAACCATGAATACATAATGCAGGATGAAGCGCATCAAGGAGACAATTGCATAAGAAATTTAGTTCAAGGGCGATTAAGGAAGAGTTCGAAAGAGGTGGGTATGTTGTTCCTTGGTACCCAGATTGGTGTAAAATCATATAATCATACAAAGAGTTGTCAAGCCTTCTAACAAATTAGAAACTTTGATACTCTTCCCTACAATGTGAATCTTCCCCAAATAATTGCTGGAATTCCACAGTATTTTGTCAAGATTAGGTGCACTGAGGAAGCTTTTTTTTTTTTTTTTACATTTTTATCTCATTTTCTTTTTTTGTTTTTTCAAAGATGTTTTTAAGATATGTTCATGGAGTCTCATTAGATTCTGTACTGCAGATTTTCAATGATGATGCAAGGATCCTGAGGAGTTGTGCTGATATTCGAAAGCTATATTCACGACTTGCAAAAGTATCAGTCCATGACTACCGGACGATTATAGTGCCCCTTCTGAAGTCATTCATCCAGGTTTGAATTTCTACCTGTTGAACCCTTTACGGTAAATTGGCCATTTTTTGTATGCCCTAAGTGAAACTTTTTCAGACTTGAGCTCTCTTTTCCAGGCACAACTGGAGAATCTGGTTTACCAATATGCAATAAGGAAGTCAGATGTTGCGGGAGAAGCATTGTTAGCGGAGCTTGAATCTGATGCCAACAAGCGTCTTAGCAAGGGACAGATGAAACATGTTGAGGGAAAGATGAAGGATAAGAAAAAGAAAAAGGATTACCGCAAATCCAAGGATTCCAAGGTCTTATATTGCGGAGTCTGGTTTATTTATTCACTTCCTTTTTTCAAGTGGTAGCTGTCTTTCATTTTTTGTGTGAGGTAGTTTAATGCTTTCATAGTGGTAAACAGAAACAGGTGCTACACGAGAAGGATGCAGATCAAGTGTAAGCCTTTTTCCCCTCTATTTTCACCTTCAGTATAGCATCCTTTTCTCCTAAATGAGCTCGGTCTGTTTTGAATTGACGTAGGTTGACTTATTGTGTTTCTACAGTCAGTTTTCTGTTCCCGAAGATGGGGATTACCCAGAATCACAGAGTGTTGTCTCTGTAATTGCCAGTGAACTGAAACAGCAGGAAGAGGAACTTAGGCGTAAATTTGAGCTTGAAGCCGAGGAAAGAATGCTTGAAGAGCATTTGGAGCGTCAAAGACAAATAGAGAATGAGGCTAAAGAGAAGCAGCTTGCTGAGAAAAACAAAAAAGCAGATGGAACAATGCCAGAGATGGCGGAGACATTGTTGAGTGTAACTGGAGTGCCAACTTGCTCTTCAGGTGATCCTTTGAAAAAGTTAGAGGAAACTAAGGCGTCCTCCCTGGTTTCTGGTGGAAGGACCGAAACAAAAAGTTGCTCTCATGGAGAAGTCAAGCTAGGTAAGTAATTTTTTTCGCAAAATTATGTTATTGCACAGTGTAAATTGATATATATTACATCAGTTTAGTCATTAATATATAAATGCACATATAGGGCTATTTTTTTATGTTTAGGAAGTTGCCCTGTCTTACATTCTCCATTCATGTCAAAACAGGACATGCGATGTCTGTGTACACTGCTATGATTTAAATCTTTGGATATGACCAATAAAATTTGAGTGGGACCACTAAACTTTTTGCACTGTGGTTTTGTTATGGAGAATGTGCCCTAAATTATGTCTTTTGTTGTGCAGCTTTGTATACTCAAGAAACTCTTGAAGGTGTTTTATGATCTTCCAATCAACAGACTGGAAGGCAATGCATAAGGCTGAACATCTTTTTAGACTCACCCAATGCCAATTCCTTGTTAAACAAAACTACAACAAAACAAATCCTGAGTATACACAGTATACAAAGGACCAACTGAATCAAAAAGACAGTACAAGTTACTCAAGAATCACCTGGGTTACCGAATATGTTTATTTTAGACCAAACAATTTCATACTCCAAAAGATATTCGGAAGTGTTGCAATAAGAGCTTTCACCCTTAAAATTATGCCTCTATCTCTCTCTCTCTCTTCCTCTTGATTCCTCAGTAAATTCAATGATGCCGCTTTTCTTACCTCCCAATATTTCTTGTAAACACAACCCTCCTTTCAGCTTGTCAACATGGTCCAATGAGGGGATAACTCAACATGCACCATCTAAGGTAAGCAGGGAAGTGCACATTCCCTTAGTTGCCACACAGTGCAAGACTAAGTGGTTGATCAGCTTACCCACTCCTTTGCACTTACAGCCCTGCCCTACTAATTGATTTTCCGTCAGATTGTTAATAACAAGATCTGCCTCCAAAGCGGTGGCTCAAACAGAAAAGCTGTCTTTAAAAGGGTTGAGTCTGTCTGCCAGCTGCCTTTCTAAGGAAACACCACCTCATGGTGTTTTGTTAAACTCAGTAATACATCTGAATGAGAAGATCTTAGTATGTGCACATTTTCACCTCAAGTTCCTTCTCCCCTCTTCCTAAACCTTGCTAAGGCACAAGTGGATTCGGACTCTCTTTCTTGGATAATTATGCCGCTTTTGAAGTTCTTACTATATGTCCACCTGAATGACTTACATATTTTGCAATAAATGTCATCCTGTTGATCGCTAACTTATCAGCACGCTAACTTATCAGCACAGGATAATCCTCCTTGGGAGCAGAATATAGATATCAAGTGTCTGTCTTACTGTTCCCCACAATCCTAATATAAAGTTGATGTTTTGAGAGACTCCTCAACTTCTCATAAAGGGATACCATAAGACCTACCCCTTGCACTAATGTCGCCTGTTTTGAAGTTTTCCCTGACACCAATGCCATGCCTCTTCTCAAAAACTTTACGCCGCTGGCTCTCCTGCCATATACCTCCTGAATCATGTGGGGAGCTTGATGCCGTAAGAAACTCAACTAGGGAGCATTATACCTTCTGCTCCACTTCCTTATGATCAGATTCCTTCGTAAGCCTTCCTATAGAAAGCCTTTGTGTAGCTTATTCGGACTTTTCTCAACTAAAGATGAAATGGTGGATAGAAAGGACATAGAAAGAAGTGCCAGGGTGCTTTTTATCAGGTTAAGTCGCCCCCTTTTGATAGGTTTCATCTCAACCACTTTGCTAGCCTCCTTTAGGACCTCTTTGCAAAAGGTTTAAAATGTATTTCTGTTTTGTTATAGTCCTGGTGGGAGCCCTCTTAGGTGGAAGGGAGGGAGTTCACCTTACATCCTAAGTTCCTTGCCAAAGTAGAAGTATTCGTAACATCTTCAAACTGGATAATGGCACTTTTACCAGGATTGATTTTCAAACTTAACATTGCCTCAAAAATGGAGCAAGGAGCGTATGAGATTGCGTAGTATCTCATCCTCTACATTAATTGTGTGATTTGTTGGCTAGTAGATGAGAGATCTCTAACATGCTAATCACCCCCACCCTCCTGAACACACTACTTAAGTCCTTATTATCATGATGAAGAGCGAAAAAGAAAAAGGATCAGTCTCCTAGTCCTCTGCTACTTGGAAAGACACCCTCAAATTACTCCTCCTTTTTAGAGCCCTTGTTGACATACCAAGAAGAAATGACCAAACTTCTATTCTCATAGGATTCCTTGATGTCCAATTCACACACCACGCATGGAACCACTTCCAGCTGTTCCAAATCAAAGCAATTGTTCGCCAACAAAACTATATATTGGACATCCGTTTACCTTGCAGAAAGCATTATATGATTGGCACCTTGCATTCCCTTTTGATAAATTATACTATTCGGACTTTACTTTGTAGCACATACACTCTTTCCACCAAGCTTTTTTAAGCTTGAACTCGTTGGTATCCACTCTTCCGCTTTCTTTGGGACTTGGGTAGTGAAAGAGGCATTTAGGTTACTCTTGAAACCATCCTTGCTCATAGAAAATGTTGAGTTGCCATCACATCCTCTTAAATTGCACTCTCCCACTGCTGAAGACTTGATTGGATCTCTGGATTCTCATCAATTGAGAAGGATAAGGATGAACCGGGATGTTGCCATATTAGAGCTGCACAAAGTGCATGCTTGGATCAGGACAATGTTCATGGTAGCAACAGTAAGTACTATTATGTGCTCAGAATTATTTTTTTTTCCATTCATGTTCTTTTAGTACTTTAGGTGCTTACTATTTGAGAAATTTTGAATGATCAATCATGTATGCATTTCATTTGTCAATTGTCATTCAGAAGCATTTTTGAATGAGGTTCCACAAGTACATGTCAATACTTGAAGTTGCTGTGATACTTGTTCTTTTACATTGCAATTTATTTACCCTTTATACTTTGAAGGTGTTGTGATATTAATCATGTGTGCATCTTGTTAAGTTTGGAGGATTAACGTAATATTAGAGACAAAGAGATAGGTTAAAAACTTAACCTAGCTCTCATACATCTTTGTATTTATAGTTGACCCACAATATTAAGAATTACACATACATCCTCTTACTATTAACAATTTACACATACTACCCTACTATTATTAACACTCCCCCTCAAGCTGGACTATATATATCATATAATCCAAGCTTGGAACAAATAGTTGTAAGACGTGTACGACTCAATGTTTTGATAAAAATATCTGCAAGCTGATCTTCAGATTTCACAAATGGAGTTGTAATCTCCCTAGCTACTATCTTGTCCCGAATAAAGTGATAATCAATCTCAATATGCTTGGTTCTCTCGTGAAATACAGGATTGACAGCAATATGGATAGCTGTCTGGTTGTCACAGAACAACTTTTAAAGGAAGTTGAACTAGAAACCCAATTTTCTGGAGAAAGTGTAGTAGTTACGTCAACTCACTCGTCGTATGTGTCATTATCCTATACTCAACACTGGATCTTGCTACCACAGGTTGTTTCTTACTTTTCTATGAGACAACAAGAGCTGAACGATCAGCAAGCACACTAAACTCCGTGTTGGATGAACTGGTAGAGAAGGTAGCACGCTACAGGTGGGAGAAAACCTCAAGTAGGGATGGAAGACTAGAACCACCCAAAATCTGAGAGCGAATAGACTCGTACTTAGGTTTCAAACCAACTAAAAATCGAACAACATTCAAATCCTCATGTTGCTTCTGTCAAACTGCTGCATCAGTAGTAAAGGGGTGATAGAACTTCAACTCCTCACACACTCCCCGAACATGAGAGTAATAGTCCTCAAGACTCAGAGTACCCTGCTCTAGACGAAAATACTATTTGCATACTTTATATTCACGAGTGAAATTCCCAGTGCCAGAATACATGGTGGTCAACTGATCCCAAATCTTTTTGGTCGTGTCAAGATAAAGCAAAGTAGAACTGATACTGTACTCAATACTATTCAATAACAATGAAATAATTGGAGCATCTTCTTGTTCCCACTTATCATACCTAGGAGTACCTTCCTTGGTTTTAGTATCCACTAAATATTTCTTAAAGCCTTTACCTCTAAGAAACAATTGAACAGATCGTGACCACAAAACATAATTGGTCCCATTGAGTTTAACAGATGTCATGGGATCATTAAGTAGAACTGTAGGAGAAAATTTTGGTGACGTGGATGAAATAAGATCAACTTGACTATCATTATTTTTATTCTTGGGTTCCATAATAATATAGCAAATAATAGAAGCAAACAAAACTGCTTAAGGCTGCTGGAGTGATAAACCTGAAGAAAAGAAAAGCTGGAATACTGAACCGTAATGGAAACCGGGTTGAACCATTGAACCGGGCTACCAGAGCTCTCTGGACCTTTGTGTTAACTTTGATCAAATAATAAAGAAATATTATTGAGGCATAACTAACCTAAACAACCTTAAAGGAAAACTACTTAAAAGAAAACTACTATATAAGAGGTCTCTATATAGTAGGGCAAAAGGAAAATAATCAGACTAAGCTAGGGCAACATAAAAGTAAACAAAATGACTAAGCTATCCCTAAGTCTAAATAATCTAACTAATTTAACATCCTCCCTCAAACTCATGATGTGGTAGCAGAAAACATCAAGAGTTTGCCAAGAAGAAAACGAAAGCAAGTGACAAGATGCGACTTTGTGAAGAAATCTGCTAGCTGCCTACAGTCCTCCCTTTCTACGGCATGTCCCAATCAGCTTGTTGGACTGTGGATCCTGAAGGACTTGAGGTAAATGAACCTACTGAAGGAGATACTGTAAGTGCACCAGGCTGATGGAGAGAGATTAACTTTTGTAACTGATCAGTAAGTATAGTTAGGCTGGGTGCCTATGAGGAGGACTCATCCACTGGTATTGCAACTGCTGACTAATTTGCTGTCCCCTTTGTATTTTTGCTTATCAGTTTAGGGCATTGAGCCTTCCAGTGAGCCTTCTCATGACAGAAACTACATGACCCCGATATTTAGAAATCACCATGGGATGCACAACTAATATAGTCTGAGTAGGCAATGGAAAAAGACTTTTTCTAGAAAGAGTCTTAAGACGAACTTCTTCAGCCAGAAGCTCATTCACTATTGCATCCACTGAGGGAAGTGGATTACGATGAAGAATAGAACCACGAAGTCCCTCGAAGTCATCCCTAAGGGCCATCAAAAATTGCACCAGCCTATGTTCTCTAAACGTGTGATATATCATATGAGTACTCAATTTGACAGGTTCAACAAGTGCTAACTGATCCCAATATCCAGTCATAACTGAGTAGAACTCCTGAATATTCTTATCACCCTGACATGCAGCTCGAATTTCATGCTCTAACTGATACCTCTTTGCAAAATTAGACTGAACAAATAAGGTAGCTAAATAATCCCAAATCTCCTTGGTTGTATTAAACTTAGTCAAATGAACACCAATGGTCTGATCAACTAAGTTGTTAATCCAAGTGATGATTTTAGCGTTTTTGATTTCCCAAGTATTCTTTAAGTCAACATATTTCTCATCTTTAGGATCAGTTGAAGCTGACAAATCACCACTAACATATCTCCACATTTCCTTACCCAACAAAATTTTTTTCATAACATAAGCCCAATATACATAGTTCTCACCTTTTAATTTGACACTGAAAACCTGAAGAGAATTAGAATTTCCACTGGCCATGATACTTAAATCAAGCAATTCAAAGCAAATAAAATCTAGCAACCCAATAATCCAACACCCAAATAGCAAATAAGGGTCCAATAGAAAACCAAAGCTCAATAACTTTGCAAATCAAATACTCACCCAGTCGTTCATTCACAAAATCAGTCCCAAAGGCTCAAACCCACCAATCAGTAAGAAAGAAAATAAAAGTTTTCTATTTATTCAGTATGAAACAATGCAAACAAACTCAAATAATGTAACGCTATATCAAATAACAAGTCCAAACAGACAAATCAAATAAACCTAGACAATGCAACGCTATGTCAAATAGTAAGCCCAAATTATCAGAAGAATAGTCAAACCAGAACTAACCCCAAACCAGTAGTAACCAAAATTTACAAACCCGAGTAGTTAGGATTTCTTACCTTGCAAAGACTAGTTCAGCGAAGAAGACCCAACAACGAGAAACACCAACAGATGAGAAGAGGAAGTCAATGTCATACAATGCAAAGTTCATCACAAATCAACTCAACAATTTTGTAAATCAAATACCCATAACAGTCGAATTTGGCACTATTCACAGCTCGTGAACAGTAACTTCGGTACTATTCACAGTACATGAACAGTAATTTTAGCACTGTTCACAGCGCGTGAACAATAATTTCAGCGCTGTTCACAGCTCTTAGAACTACAAACAAAATCAGCAACTCTAATCCAAGAATAAATTGTCATAGATGATGTTAGCCCTAATTCAAGAATATATTCTTTTTTCAACTAAATTACTGTGGTGCTACAATATATTTTGGATCGAAACCATGCTTTGATACCATGTTAACTTTGATCAAATAATAAAAAAATATTATTGAGGCAAAACTAACCTGAACAACCTTAAAGAAAAACTACTTAAAAGAAAACTATTATATAAGAGGTCTTTATATAGTAGGGCAAAAGAAAAATAATCAGACTAAGTTAGGACAACATAAAAATAAAAAAATGACTAAACTACCCCTAAGTCTAACTAATCTAACACTTTGAACCGGACCGGCTAGGCTCTCTAGACTGTTGAACTGGCCTGAACCATGGTCCGGTCTAAACTAAATCGTGGGCTGGACCGGTTTTGGACTTAAAATTTAAGTCCTGGGCTTGACTTGACCCGATTTGATCCAGACCTCGTTGGATCCTTTCTTCTTCCTCGCTGGTTAGGGTTAGCAACCCTCTGGTCTGCGACAACAGTACACACCACAAGCCGACTTCAATCGCAAGACCACCACACATCACAGCCCTTACCACGACCGAACACCACAACCACTACCACGACCGATGAACAGAAGAACAGAAGCCACAACAACAGTACAACACCACAAGCTGACGTCAATAGCAAGACCACCACAGCCACCACCACCACAAGTGATCACGCCACTACACCACCACCATGAACGACGCAAGTGGGCGATGAACAGAGACCACACACCACAGCCACCACAACCACACCATGTTAAGTTTGGAGGATTAATATAATATTAGAGACAAAGAGAGAGGTTAAAAAATTAACCAAGTCTCGTACATCTTTGTATTTATTGTTGACCTATAATACTAAGAATTATATATACACCCTCTTACTATTAATAATTTATACATACTACCCTACTATTCTTAACACATCTTTCTTTATTACTCGCTTTAGTGCCAACTCTTTGTCTTGAGTTTCCTTTCTCTTTTGGATGCTGCCTGTGTGGCTTTTCTTTTTTCCTTTAGGATGCAAAATAATCTGTTTAGTAAGCCCACAAGAGCCGTTTACTCTATCTGCCGCCACCTTTGGTATATGCTTTCTTTTGCTCATTTTATTATTGGCCAAATATTCTGTTTTTGGTGCAAATTTTCACGTAGATTCGAAAGAAAGACATAAGAATTTGGTGCTGCAGCCTTCAAAATCCAAAAAAATTGTTGGAATTTTGGTTTCCAGAAATTTTCAATCATCATCCTTGCCACCACCACCATCATTATCATTTTCAGTAAAATATGTTCTATCATATTTGATACAACCATTGGGAAATTCCTCAATAAAATCTCCATTTGCATAGCACACCGTGGTCATTGGATGATTTGCCTGTGCAAATTTTTTTCATAGTAAAAGAAAGTCATAAGTTTACCTTGTAGCTCTTATTAGTATTATAACTGAGAACTCATTCCACTGGCATTATGTTCGTTTGCAGAAGTCACTTCTTTAGAAAGACTACAGAGTAGTGAATGCTAAAAGCGTGTTATACAATTGTTTCAGTGGAAATGAAACAAAATGTGGATCCTTGAATATACGTGAATAATTAGGAACAGATATGGTAAGTTCTTTTGGTGAGTGGATTTCTTAGGTGGGAGCCTGTATAGTCTGGCATGGTGTTTGACGTGGAGTTGTGACACTCAAGGAATAGTTTCCGTTTTGTGACTTCATTGTGGCAAAGTAGGAGCTGTGGCAACTCTCCACTCTCAGTCAATTCCTTTTTGTTTCTCCACTATGCTATGTGGAGAGTTGCCAATCTCCCCTCAAGAAGCGTGCTTGCTGTCAATTGAATTGAAGACTTTTGGTCGATAAGAACACACAGAAGAAGTTGATGTTGAATGTGAGAATCAACATCCTCTCCATTTGCATTTGTCAAAGTTTGTGCTTTGACTTTCCTCATCAGTATATTATTAAAAAATGTGGGTTGCAGCAGTGACATGATCTAAGAAGCTGTTATGTCTCATGGGGTGTGTCTGTAAGCAGCACATTAAGAGAATATTTCAAGATGACAAAGTGTTGCTTTTTGAGTATATTAGGCTAAAGAGATCTTAGGCTTTTTTTGTTTGTTTTCTGGACGATAGTTTACTCCCTTGAGCCTTCTTAGCTGATTGTAGGCGACTACCAAGATTTTGACTTCATCTCCATGTTTCTACTGTAATGTGTTCATTGGAAGTATTAGAGATATGAAATCATATCTCTAATAGGAAGAAAGGGAATAACATGCTTCTAGTTCAGCTTGCGGCATATAATCCAATGTTGACTTTAGTTCACCTTATGTTGTGTTATTCTTTTGAATATAATCCATTGTTAATAAAGTCCATTGTGGATAGAGTAACATTTCTGGAGGATCAGTGAGGCTTTGATTTAAATTTTATTTCTGAAATTTCTGATACATTTGAAAATATTCATTAAAAAGTACTGCAAGACTCATTCAAACTTACTATTGCCATTTCATAAATTAAAATTTCCAAGCACTCATGCCATATTATTGTTGTCTCCACATCAAATGAAGTGCATCATCTTTCCTGTTGTATAGATATGTCCTGTTGTATATAGAGGCAAACTGCAAGAAGAGACTGACAAAATATCTGCACCAAAAAGTCCAAAAACAATATGTGGCAGACTCAGTCAAATTTGATTACTGAGGATACATGAAACTCTTATGATTGTCCTCAACAGAAGGATGTCTCAGACTAAATAAAAATATTTTTGTCTCTCATCTGTCAGATGATGGAAACAATAGCAAGGAGCTCTTCATTATATTTTAATCTGTTTACTATTGCAGACGCATTAGCAGAAGAGAAAAAAGACCATGGGGTCTTATCAACTGATATCAGTTTCAAACATATGGATGGATCACATAAATTCTTTGGGAAAGGGATGAGAAATTACCTTGGTGAAAGCAAATGCTTTTTTGATGCAACTATACAGGTTGGAATTGAAGACAAGTTACATATTACAATTTTACGATCCGTGACAAAGTGTTCACCTTTTCCTTTCAGTCCTGATCCTCTAGACTCTTGTGATATCTGCAGTCTCTGTGGCATTTAAGACGGTTCCGAGATGAGTTTTTCAGTCTATCTAGGCATGTGCACGTTGGAGATCCTTGTGTTGTCTGTGCGTTACGTCAGATCTTTGAGGCCCCAAGCATGGGTAATACTGATAGGCAAAGGGAAGCTATTGCGCTAACCTCTTTAAGAATCTCTCTGAGCAATTTGTATCCTAGTAATAAGTCCTTCCAGGGGGTATGGTCACAGGAATTTGTTGATTTTGTCTTTCTTTGACTCTCTCTCTCTCTCTCACCAAATATGAACTTGGATACGATGTTTTACAGGGACAAGATGGTGATGCTTTTGAAGTGTTGGAAAAAATATTAAGCTGCCTTCATCAGTCATTTACTTATAAGGATGATGCTGATGATGCCAATTCAGAAGACAGGAAGTGCACAGGCTCTTCACATGGAGCAAGCAAGACTTGTATAGCACATACCATTTTCGGATTGGACGTGTTACGACGAGTGGACTGTAAATGTGGTCTTCAGTCTGGATATAAGAGCCAGATTTCTTATGCTACTAACATAGCTGCAAGAGAACTCAGACAGGCAAAGGTTTGCCACATGTGAATAATGTTTTGATAAAGTATTTCGGTATTCTTAAAACAACTAGAAACTTCCGTAAGCAGAATTGCTATGAATTCTATGTTAGACATGTTAAAATTCGATTTCTTTTCATCCCAACTCAGATTATGCATGTGGGTTGCCCTTTTGATGAGCTTTTGAAGCTTCTCACAGTGGATGAGGATACTCAATTCATTTGTGAAACAGAGGCTCATGGCTGTGGAGCACCCAACCATTTCACTCATGTTCTTTCAACTCCTCCACACATATTAACTGTTGGTAAGTGACGATGTCATAAAATCTATCATTCTTGTATTGGCCAGTGCTTACTTGTTTCTAGTCGGAGCATTGCAGTTATTCATTGGCAGACGGCAAGTGAGAGTGCTGATACTATACTAACAACATTGATTGCTCTTAATGCTGAGGTCGATGTTGGCATTTTGTATCAAGATTTAGACCAAGGGAGCAGACACGTTCTTGTTTTAATGGTAAGTTTTATATTCCCGAGTCCTTTCTAGCATCTGGTTACATTCATAGTTGCAAAAAGAAAAAAGACGAAGACACTCCTTGTAATTTAAAGTACTATATGTAATTTAAAGTACTATATAATCAACTAGAAAATAGATGCCTTTATTGAAGTAAATGCAAGGATGGTGCATGCAGACAGTTGAGCTGTTTACATGCAGCGGTCTGACTTGCTCTGTGCTCAAGATATTGTCAGAGACTTTAAAACATTGTTACAAGGAGTGGATTGGGAGGGGTAATTTCAGTTGGGTGATGGGCTGATTGGCAGCTTAAAGATGGTTTGTTGTCCTGATGGTGGATGGTCATCACATGCCAATCTAAAATTTGGATTCGCCACAAAAAAGTTTTGAGAATCGTAGTGTGTTCTTTTGTGTTAGTCTCTGCAGTTGGCTTCACAAGTGGATGTATTGGGTTGATTCAGATGCCACGTTGGCAAGGACATGGCTGTAGACAATTGGTGTAATAACTTTAACTCTTTGATCTCTTCACTGTTGAGTAGCATTTTATAAAAGAGTAATGCTACACTGTTTATAAAAATGGGATTTCTTATGCGGCCTTGCACCCCTAAGCTTATTTTTTTCCCTTCTCTTTAAATAAAAGGTTTGAAGCGTTAACCCCAAAAATGGCATTTTTGATGCAGCAACTAAATTGATCTTAATATGCACGCATATATGCATGCACATGTTTTTAAAGTCCCATGTTGATGGTTAACTCTGTATGCAATAACAGGAAAACCAATGTAATGAAGTTTGAAAACATTACTATGCCTTAAACCGACTGGGTATATTGTTTTTTATTCAAAGATATCTTCNGCTAAATTGATCTTAATATGCACGCATATATGCATGCACATGTTTTTAAAGTCCCATGTTGATGGTTAACTCTGTATGCAATAATAGGAAAACCAATGTAATGAAGTTTGAAAACATTACTATAACAAGAATTTGGTATAACATTACTATGCCTTAAACCGACTGGGTATATTGTTTTTTATTCAAAGATATCTTCCTCAATGGGAGATGAATATGTAATAGCTTGATGTCTTCTCTTTGACATTCCAACCAGAGGCTATTTTCAGAACCTCTTTGGCCGCATCAACTAATTTTTGAATTAAAGAGGACACTTCCTCAGGCATGAGGATTGATGTGGCAGAAAAATCTGTGAAATAAGGATTTCTGATATTATTTACAAATAAATTCTATTGAAGGGCACCTAGAGTGGATGCAAACCATGTACATGAGAAACATGTGAAGTGTTGTGTTTACTCCCCTTAAAGGAACTCAAACGGCAATTAAGTATCCAAAGTCTCTACAAGATCAAAAAATGATCTCAAGGTGGGCACTTATCAGAAGATAAAACAGGGCAGTCCAGTGCAAAGGTAAAAGTAAAACAGAAAAAAGGGTTATTGAAGGGGGCACCCTCTCCATGTTTCTCAGCTAAACTGTCAAGCATCTGCTTCATATGGGGTTGATAGTTCGAAACATGTAAACTTCCCCTTCCTCCAATTGCATCCAGTAAGGAAATTTGGGACAGTTCTGGACACCATGCTCTTACTCCTGCCGAGACATTTAGCTCCTACTCCACGCGTGCTCTTGACACCTTATTTCTTGTTATTTTGCGAAAGAAATTATCTGCTTTATTTTCTAACAGCAACCATGTTTGTTTGTTGCTGATTTGATGGCAGTATGTCCATGCAATATAAATTGCATTACAGAACCATTTTACATCTTTCCTAAAGCTTTCTTGTTATTCTTAGGTTTGCTATCGTGGGCATCACTATTACTGCTTTGCTAACAACCATGAGCATGAAAGATGGATTGTGTTCAAGGACGAGAATATAAAGGTACATTCATATTGGTTGCTTGATATTATCTCTCCCTATATATGGTCTTTAATTTCGGGCATCTAATATATATTTGGTTCCAATAGGTTATTGGCAGTTGGGATGATCTTCTTTTCACGTGTGCAAACGCACACTTACAACCTCGGCTCCTTTTCTTCGAAGCTATAGAGTAGATGTGTTCTGGACAAATCACTAGAGTTGCAATGCAAATGGCATTTTTGTTTGTAAAGACAATTATGATGAGGAAGGATGGAGGAGGAAGCACACAATTTATTTGAACAACTAACTGATCATGGAAAGTGGTTCTTTACCCCTTCTATTTTCTTTTTCTTTTTTTGGGCAGGAAGGGTGAGGGGTTCATAGAAGAACAGATGATGCTATGCAGAGCCTGAACCACTGGCATTGTTTTCATGGGATGCCCAAACCTGTTACTGAACATAGCAAGACATGGAACCATGGGGTTCCAATATTGTACATTTCTACGGAAGATGATGAAATTAGGTAGCCCCAGTTGTATATGAAATATTAGACATAAAACATTTTAACAAAGGAATGAAGAACTACCAATGATCTCGATTCATGGTCATCTCTTCTTCTCTCTGTCTGTGTGTGGGAGTGTGCGTGCAATATCTTTCCTTACATGGTTATCTAAGAATATAGTAATTGATGCAGGCTATCAGGAAGATTGAAATTGTGAAATTTTGAACAGGTAGATGTTTTCCTGTATCAGTATGATGTTGGCGAACTCAGATGTTCAATATGAGCTTAATACCACTGGAAAATGAACAGGTAGACATTTTCCTATACCAGTATGATGCTGTCAAACTCAGATGCGCAATGTGAGCTTAATGGCACGGGTAAAAATTGTTCCTATTGTATGAGATTTGTGGCTTTGAAGCATCATTCACAAAAACAAAGTTCTCTATTGGCATGGCAAATATAATTAAAAAGAACTTCCGCAGGAATCACCTAACAAAATCTCATCATCAGAAATCACTTAACAAGAATTATATCCACCAAGTCCCCAGCAAATAACAACACTCATTTGAGAAGCTTCCAAGCTATTATTGTGGGTAAACAGTAACATTACACAATGACTCGCGACGCCTTGTGGCTTGATTTCTTTTGATGTCTGTAACAGGAGCAGGTTTGTGACTGAAATAATTGTATCCAGGTTCTGAACGCCTAGGTCATGGTTGAAGTGAGGGTCTTTGCCAAAAACTCGCTTGCCACTATCAAATAAACATAGAGATTTCTTAACCAACAAAAACAAATAGAAGAAGAAAAACCAACTTGAGCACGATTGAAGAATTTGAACTATGCAGTAAAGGAATATGATGATGGCGACAAGGCAAACAAACATAATGAAACTCGTATTAACCATCCTGATCTCGACTTGATTGCTAATAGCTCATATATCTTACCCTAAAACATCCTTAAACTATGCGTCCTGGTGAGACATTTGTACATAAGTACACTAACAGGATAGAGTGCTATTAAAGTGGACAAAGGACCATTACAATGCAGCCTCGTCTTGTTTGCTTTTGGCAAATTAATACACATTCTGGTTTGATAGGAATATACTACTTTTCATCTTGACCATTATTATACAATTCTAATACACGTTTGTTCTCATGACTAAACTCCAGAGAATTTCAAAATTAATGAAACAAGAGCATAATTATAAAGATAACAAGCCAAATGGGTGAATCTATGATTGAAACAAGAGCATAGTAAATGCATTACTAATCCAAATACATATCTAGATCCTATGTAGTATCCTTTCATCGGTAAGTATTGGAGCGGACTCACTTTCATATAATCAGTCTTGTTTAAATTCATAACAAATAATATACCACCGAAGAAAATGAAAAAAAAAATGTATTAGAAGAATATTAATCCTCTATGTACCAACCTTTAGAAGTCGACGGAACTACAACAATATGAATGGCTGCATTGTTTGGGGGAAGAGCTAACCGAAGTTGATATAGCTTTCCACGTGTGTCGCGGGAACACACAATAATGTCCTCTAGCCCCGTCTCTTCCTCCAACTTCCGAGTCAATTCCTCTAAACCATGGCCTTTAAAATTAAAGGAAGGCCCTTCAATGGCATCATCAGCAACGTTTCCATTGTCATCTACAACAGTATAATGTATAATTCGTCCTTTAGACTTCACCGGTGAACCACCCAATGTATCGTTTGTCTGCAAATAGTTAAAACCAGCACAATCCCGTCAAAATTTCCAATCATAATAAGTATTGTACTGAATAATTATTTTTAGCATAAATTTCTATAATATAAAGGCGAGAATACAATTTAATCTAATAAGATTACAACAAATAGAGTTGTTTGTTAGGATCGATCATCGTGTTTTTAATGGCTACGAAATCTTTCGATATTATAAATTTGATTCAGATCGAGTTGTATGTATACGTTCGAATGGATACGATATAAACAACTATAGTGGTACCCGGCCAAACAAAACAAACCTCAAGCTTGGAGAATCTGGGTGAGCGAAGATGAAAAGAAGACGAGCTAAGATCCGGATCCGAATCCAAATCCAAAGACTCCGATCGTGAAACATTTTCCTGTGATGCTGATCGTGAAACATTTTCCGATGATTCTGATCGTAACTCAACGACATCAACTTCCCATAAAACCCAATCATGATGCCTCTGAGGTATATCATGTGTTACTGAGTTTCTCCAAGGTGGTAGCCCAGCATTTGCTCGTAAAAAGTTCCCATATCTAGTTTTGAGCTTCACTAGAAACCCATCTCTTATGGGTTCCCATTCGATCGATGAATCCAATTTTGTCGGCGTAGTTTGAAGAACTTTATGACCCGTCACGCCCAGAAGGAATTGTTCTTCAGTGGCAGTGAGGTATTTGCCATAACAGCTTCTCAAGCGAACGACTTTGTTAATGCCTTCAACGAATTCCACAGTCCATTTTGCGTTTTTGGCTGAGCCATATCGATCTTGGTACACGGATTCTTGGTCTTCTTCGGCTAGTAAGTACTTGTCATGGTGGCTTCGGAGCCTGATCGTTTTTGCTTTTTGGAAGAATTCCATTCCAGAGCTCTGAAATCAATCATCAACACAATCATATGAAATTATGAACTGTTTCAATAAGAAAAAAAAGTTGCATGTACAGGAGAGGAGATATATAAGCTGTACCTGGATCAATAAAAAGTGATATAAAAAATTCAGAAAGGGATTTCTATGGGACTTTGTCTCAAATTTCAAAAAAGTAAAAGGGGAGAGATCTGAAGATGAGAATGACTGTATGAGTTTTTGAAGGTTGGTTTTTTTTTTTTTTTTATGCCATAAATTTCAAGGTTGATGAAATGCTCAGTTTTTGAAGGTTGGAGATGGTCTCTTAGATGTGGATTAACGGCTATAATGGCAAGTGTGACAAAACGTTGTGGTGCTGTGTTGTCAAGCTTGAATTCAGCAATGCCGTTTTAGTCAGAGACGTAGGATCAGGAAGTGGCCCACAGAGTTATGGCTTTGGCAATCGGCAAGTTTGGACTCTATCTTTGCTATTGACACTGCGAGNAAGGTTGGAGATGGTCTCTTAGATGTGGATTAACGGCTATAATGGCAAGTGTGACAAAACGTTGTGGTGCTGTGTTGTCAAGCTTGAATTCAGCAATGCCGTTTTAGTCAGAGACGTAGGATCAGGAAGTGGCCCACAGAGTTATGGCTTTGGCAATCGGCAAGTTTGGACTCTATCTTTGCTATTGACACTGCGAGGGCAGAAGGAAGGAGAATCCAATGAATTTGCTTGCAGATTTCTTATATTATTATTATTAATTTTTTTTTATTATAGAATATCCAAATTTACATCGATCATTTTCACGAATTTAGGGACCAGTACGGGCGGAGCCACCTTATGTACAGGGAGACACATGCCCACCTTCAATTTTTTTTTCTAAAATTATTTATATATATTTTAAGTATTTTTTTAATATATTAAATTATACACACCATATTTTTTAATCAAAACCAAAAAAAAGTATGATATATACATGAGTTTACTTATAATTTTAATATTTATTTTAGTAATTATCACCAATATGATAGAGAATATATTTTATTATGTAATTGAATGAATAATAAGTAGCTAAGTGATAATATGATTATGGATATAAATAATAATAAAATTAATGTAAGACTTTCAATGTACAACAACTCATCGAAATCAATTCTAAGTAGTTTTGATTAGTCTTTGGGAGTACCATTAGACCAAAGACTCATTAGTAGTATGATTTGCAATTATAGCCCTTTAAGTTTAATGAACTTTTAAGAATTAAATAAAATATAATTAAATATAAATGTATTATTTTATTTTTATCAATTACAAAAAAAAAATTACGTTTGTTAAAATATATAATACCCACCCTGAAACAATTTTCTAGCTTCACCCTTGGGGACTGACACCGTAATTTGAGCTGAATTAGAAAATATTCCTAAAGGGATAAGGGTGGCTAACCCTTAGGGAGTGTGGGGAAGGGATTGAACCTGAAATTTCTGAATTATCAAAAGTCAAACGCAATTAGACCTGACAATCGTGTTGGGTGGAACAGTTTTATATCGGATAGAACGAATTTGTGTCAAAAAATCCTTCATTTATCCCCCCATTTGTTTATATAAAAGAATTCAACTATCACATCTGTACACGACTCGTTTATTAAACGGGTTACCTGACACAACCCCGTATGTCATTCGCTACATAAAAGAATCAACAAGAGTATTTCGAATCTATACATGTTTGATCTGTTTATTATAACAATAAATCATGGCTAAGCAATAAAGTAAAAACAAAAAATAAATATTAAATTACTATCAAATTCGAATGAATCTGAGAAATGAGAGACGTGAGATGAGACAGAGGTTGAGAGACCAATTTTTTTTTTGGAATTTATAGTGCTACTATTAACGGGTTAAACGGGGTGAAATATATTTATGGGTTAAATATAAAACTGATTTGTTTATTTCACGGGTTTACTGAATTAACCCGTTAATCATTCTAATTCATTAAAATTGACAGGCTTAAGTGCAACCGTTAGACCACCCTAAAGATNTTACTGAATTAACCCGTTAATCATTCTAATTCATTAAAATTGACAGGCTTAAGTGCAACCGTTAGACCACCCTAAAGATGATATTTCTTAAGTTATGCAATAGTATAACATACTTTTATNAGTGATAATATGATTATGGATATAAATAATAATAAAATTAATGTAAGACTTTCAACGTACAAAAACTCATTGAAATCAATTCTAAGTAGTTTTGATTAGTCTTTGGGAGTACCATTAGACCAAAGACTCATTAGTAGTATGCTTTGCAATTATAGCCCTTTAAGTTTAATGAACTTTTAAGAATTAAATAAAATATAATTAAATGTAAATGTATTATTTTATTTTTATCAATTACAAAAAAAAAATTATGTTTGTTAAAATATACAATACCCACCCTGAAACAATTTTCTAGCTTCGCCCCTGGGACTGACACCGTAATTTAAGCTGAATTAGAATATATTCCTAAAGGGACAAGAGTGGCTAACCCTTAGGGAGTGTGGGGAAGGGATTGAACCTGAAATTTTTGAGTTATCAAAAGTCAAACGCAATTAGACCTTACAATCGTGTTGGGTGGAACAGTTTCATATCGAATAGAACGAATTTGTGCCAAAAAATCCTTCATTCATCCCTCCATTTGTTTATATAAAAGAGTTCAACTATCACATCTGTACACGACTCGTTTATTAAACGGGTTACCTGACACAACCCCGTATGTCATCCATTACATAAAAGAATCAACAAGAGTATTTCGAAACTATGCATGTTTGATCTGTTTATTATAACAATAAATCATGACTAAGCAATAAAGTAAAAACAAAAAATAAATATTAAATTACTATCAAATTCGAATGAATCTGAGAGATGGGNCTAAGCAATAAAGTAAAAACAAAAAATAAATATTAAATTACTATCAAATTCGAATGAATCTGAGAGATGGGAGACGTGAGATGAGACAGAGGTTGAGAGACCAATTTTTTTTTTGGAATTTATAGTGCTACTATTAACGGGTTAAACGGGGTGAAATATATTTATGGGTTAAATATAAAACTGATTTGTTTATTTCACGGGTCTACTGAATTAACCCGTTAATCATTCTAATTCATTAAAATTGACAGGCTTAAGTGCAACCGTCAGACCACCCTAAAGATGATATTTCTTAAGTTATGCAATAGTATAACATACTTTTATACAGAAAAATTTTGATATAAGAATTTATAGGCAAAATGATATGACTAATGTTTTATAATATACTAATTATGATTCATTTGTTTGAAATAAAAGACTAATAGTGAACCACATTATTATTCTACATGACACTTGGGTATGAAATTTCATTTTATATGCCATTCTTATATTTGAAGTCGTCCATAGCTGCTATTGATCTTGCAAGTCAGACTCTCAAGGTCCCATCAGAATGCTGACTTATTAGCTATACATTAAGATTAAGGTATGAAAACATCACATGGTTTCAGACTATTTTTCTATGTCAAGAAAGTTTAGCTTTAATTGCTAGATTAGTCTACAAAGTTTTTAAGCACCACAATATACGATTGATTCTAGGCACATTGACTTTATGCATGGATCAACGATATATTTATGATGACACCTTGTGCATATATACACTTTGTACAACAATTTTTTTTTGGGAGGGGGAGAGAGAAGATGACTTGAACCTTTAACTTCAAAAATGTAAAATTTTTATAATGTAAGTAGTAATATTAGACCAAAGATTCATTGGTGCATGGATCAACGAATTACTAATCAACACTATTAAAAAAAATGAGAAGAGGAGTTTAGTGTCCTCTTCTTTTATTAATAGTAATTTTTTATTAATAATTAATTTATAATAACTTCCTAATTCAAATGACTCTCTGCCTCTTTCTCTGACAAATGCCCATGCCTAACACGGTGCCAAAAACTAATAAGCAACAAAATTCTAGCTCATATATTGACTTAAGAAAGGGTTAAGATAAGTCGGACTGATAATCAAGTTGAATTTTACAAGTTTGAGTCATGTTTATCGAACTTATTTTTTTAAATAAGCGTCTAAAAAATTGTTTAAGTTTAAATCTTTTAATCAATGATTCGAACTCAAACCAAATCCAAAACGAGTCAAACCTAATCCGAGTCTGAAGAATTTGACTATTTTACATGAATTTAAAAAATGAATTTAAATTTTGGATTTAATTTAGGCTTGCTTTCTAAATGAATTTAAAAAATTGTTCAAATTCAATTCTTTTAAAAAATTAGTCAAGTCTGAATTAAATCCAAAATAAATCAAATTTGAGCAAAATTCGAATAACTTAATTAATTTACGTATAAACGAATTGGCTCTTTTAAATTTGATTCATATGGTCTAGCTAGGCTCATTTTCTGATCAAGTCTAATAATAGCGATACATAAAAAGAATGATAGTCATGCAAACGAAAGTAAATGTCAATTTGGCAAAGTTAATCGATTTACCTGCCTCGTAGAGGCATGTCCAAGCCTTCCTGCGGAAACGACTATCGGTGACCCGGTGTCCGGCGACCCAGAAAAATCATCTGCCAATGCAGAAAAGTTTGACGCCGTCGATGTACAGCTCGATAACGACTCCGAATCCGACAACGATATATCCACAACATCCACTCCCCACAAAACCCAATCCTGAGTCGCAGTTCTATGAGGAACATCATGAGTTATGGAGTTCCTCCAAGGAGGTGTTCCGCCATTTGCCCTCAAGAACTTCCCTTGGCTTGTTCGAAGCTTCACATGGAAAGCCCCTTCTTTTATAGGCTCCCACTCGATTGAAGTGTCCGACTTTGTCGCCGGAAGAGTTTGAAGAACCTTTTTTCCGGTCATTCCGAGAAGGAATGCCTTGTCGGTGGCGGTGAGGTACAGGCCGTGGTGGCTCTTTAGGAGGATAACATGGGGTTTTCCTTCGATGAACTCGACTGTCCAACGTGCCTTGTGGGAAGAGCCATTACGGCTTTGCCGGACGGTCTGTTCATCATCGTCGGCAACTAAGTACTTGCCGTGGTGGTTTTGGAGTCTAACTGCTTTAGCTTTGTCAAATAGCTCCATTCCGTTCTGCAATGTAATTGTCAATTGGGTTGAAAAGGCGTTGCTAGTAATATTAGAAAAAAGTTGTCTCACTCGAGTCCTTATTCTTATAATTTCGACATTTTAATCTATAAATTTTTTGATTTATGGGTAGGAAAGAATACCTGTCTTCCACTAGAGGGTCTGGATCTATAGGGGAAGATTGAAGACGAACGGCTCTCAGGGGCGATTGATGGGGAGCGAGAGTCTGAAACCGTAAAATCGTCGGCCGGTGATGAAGAAAAACTTGACGCCGGCGACATGTAGCTAGGCAATGACTCAGACTCCAAGTCCAATACACAAATGTCCACTACATCGACTTCCCACAAAACCCAACTTTGTGTTGCAGTTCTGTGAGGAAGATCATGAGTTATAGAGTTCCTCCATGGCGGTGTGGCCCCATTAGCCCTCAAGAACTTCCCTCCTTTTGCCCTTAACTTCACTTCAAACCCTTCCTTTATCGGCTCCCACTCTATAGAATTATCCTTCATCGTAGTCGGTATAGTTTGGACCACCTTTTTTCCTGTCATACCTAGAAGGAAAGGCTCGTCGGAGGCGGTGAGGTACTTGCCATGAAAGCTCTTGAGACGAATGACATGGCTATTCCCTTCCACAAACTCGACGGTCCAACGGGCTTTTCTTGAGGAGCCGTTACTGCTTTGCCGGACGGTCTCTTCATCGTCGTCGGCGACGAGGTACTTGCCAAGGTGGCTTCTGAGTCTCACAGATTTAGCTTTGTTGAAGAACTCCATGCTTTTCTGTAATGAAAAGCTTTGTTTGTTGTTTGCTATTAGTTTTCTTCCTCTTGGCTTAATTTGTTGATTTGAAGGGAGTCTTTTACAGATCGACAACTTGGATGGTTGACCCGGAAGTTTCGAAGATGCTTTTGCTTATTTATTTCAATTCTTATATAATTGAATGCAGGGCCTAACTTGTACGGATTAAGACTAATCCATGTCGCAATTGAGGCATTAAGCCTCTTTAGAGCTGATGTTACCTCTAAAAATATAGTTTAAAAATTGAAATGAAAATATTAGAGTTAAAAAATTATTAAAATTATATTGTGTTTGTGAAAAAAATTGTCTTTTCTTTATACACTCTTGGATTAGCCCCCTTTTTCCAAATTTTTTTTTGGTACCGATAAATAAAAGTTATTTTTACCCAAAAAATTGATAAAAAAGTCACCCAAAGTATATTTGGTGAATCAAAGTTAAAAACAGTCTCTTAAAGAGAACAAAATCAATAATATTAAAAAAAAGATGTTCCAATTCTAAGCTTACTACTCTATTTATAATACTAAAATCATAATCCTTCTAATTCTAATAGAATAAAGAAATTATTTCTAATAAACTAAAGGAATACAATACTTAATAGAATTAGGAATACTATTCCTAATAGAATAACAATTTTAATCTAAAAAACACTTAATCCAAACGAAAATTAGTCCTAAAATTAAGGTCAAATAAATAATAATTTCTAATTCTTGTCTTACGTCAATACCATTATTATAGTGACACATTACTTGGTCTTTATTTTTTTGTCAATAATATCCTTGTTTGAAAAAAGCATCTCAAAATAAATTAAATCTAAGTAATATTTTAGCTGAGATATTCGATTTTCTAGACTAAAAATTGAATTTAGTTTGAATTTCTATCTTTAGTGTTTATGCCATTTGAGAATTAAACTCTACGGGCCAAGCCCAAGAGCCCAACTTACGATGTAAGTTTAGTTTAAATTAAGAGTTTGACTCAAGAAAGATCTGGTAATTTCAAATAAAAGTGGTCAACACCCAATTAAACTTATCAGAGTTTGAAGAGCTACATTAGTAAGAGAGCAGGTATGGTCATCCAAGATCCTCATCCTCGCCATCTTGGAAAGAAGTCAACATCTATCTCTTCTTTTGACCGAATCTCATGGAGAATATCGTAACTGTCTCGCCCATTAAGAAGATATCGACAACTTTATCAGAATAGTCACTTAGTTATTAATAGCTCACTCTAGTCTGTTATGGGCGACTTTGAATTGTAAGTCCCGCCAACACTTGGAGGGGCATCACATTCAGTCAAACACAATTCTTCTCTCTCTTAGCTTGTAACTCTCTATTCTTCCTACACATTTAAAATAATAAAATATCTAGCAATTCAAAGTAGACGTATGTCACATTGACCAAATTATTATAAATCTTGTCTTATTTTTGTCTCTATTTCTTATTTATTAATTACTGTATTAATTACTGTTCATCTGACAAGTGGTGTATAAACTCAATTTGTGCATCATCGATTAAACCAAACTTTTCATCCAAAAATTGAACCCGAGTTGAGGTGGAGTTTCAGATATGGATAATAGTCAAATCAAAGGTTTGGGACTAAATTTGAGTAATTGTAAAATTCAAGTTTAATGGAATATATGCAACTTGAATGGTTGAATACTTTGGTAACATGGATGTTGAGAAACACGGTATAGCTGCGCCAATTCAAAACTATCAGAATCTTTCTTCTCCGTGAACAGAATGGTACCGGGATGACCAAATCAAAGTATACGGAATGAATATAAACAGCTTACGCGTCTTGAGGTTGCCATATTGGTTCCAGAATGTTCTCAATCCATTATGACAAAGTCTATTCATATATGGAATTTCAGTTGATTGATGGGCCGAGCCTAACTGCCCGACTCATGTTTTAAGTCTGTGTTAAAGGTCCAACTCCATGAAATCCATCAAGTTCAGTCTAATGTGATAAATCTGATCAAATTAATCAAGTTCAAATAGTTACATTAGTAGGGAGCACGCAAGTCATCCTAGAGTAAGGGTCATCTTANTTGTGGCGTAAAAATGAGGCCATATTATTTCTCTTTGCGTCACTGAGTGACTCCCCTATCAAAAAGTACTTCTCACCACTATCTGGGCTCAGAAGAATCTTCACCAAGGCTTCAATAGACCTGTCGGCCAGCTCTGTAATGGGGTCGTCCACTCCCGGACGATCGCTCTGTGATTGCTATTTGGCAACCACCGCATCGGGATCACGCTCCTAACTCCGGCGGCTAACTCCCGTTTTCACTGCGGCATAGAAACAGCTTTTCGCTGACGCCTGATCATCCCGGATTTCCATTATGCCCCGTGGTGTTGAGAATTTTATCTTCTAGTGATAGGATGAGTGTACCGCTTTTATTGCATGCAACCACGATCTCCCCATAATAACGTTGTAAGGAGAGTCGGAGTCCACTACCCAAATTCTACTGGCGTGGTCACCACCCCCGTCCGTACCATGAGGGTAATTTTTCCAAGGGACAGGGCGCTGGAACCATTGAAACCGATGAGGGGGTTTTTACGGGTTCCAGATCCGCCTGAGAGAGTCCATCTTGCGGAAGGGGTGATCGTACATTACCTCGAAAGAACTGCCCGAGTCTACCAAGATCCTCTTGACGTCGAACTTCCCGACCCTCAAAGTGATCACCAATGCATCCTCATGGGGGAGGACTACCCCGCCGAGATCAACATCAAAAAACTGGATAACTTCGGCACCGCTCCGTGGCTTCTTGGGCGGCCGCTCATCACCCCTTTCGCCAACTTGATTGCTTGAGAGACCCTTTGTAACTCGGCGCGGGAGGGAGTTATATGTAGGCCTCTCCACTGTGCAGGCATGAATAACATCAATCACGGGTGCTACTTCAGCTGGCACCTCTACTCGCTCCCTCGCCGACCCTCCGGGATGACCACTGTCGATGAATTTCCTGAGGTGTCCGTCTCGCACCAATTGTTCGAGGAAGGATTTATAAACCTTGCAATCCTCCATCAAATGACCGATATCTCTATGATACGAACAACAAAAGGCCGCATTCATTGTCAACGGGTCTCTAAACATCCACGGGGGCCACTTGAAGTAAGGTTTGTTTTTGATTTTGGGAAGTATCCTGTGAATGGGCTCGTTGAAGACCATTTTCACTCCTTAGAAGGATAGGCGAGTTGGGGGTGGAATAGGCCCTCCCCTTCGAGCCGGCTACTCCCTTTCCCTTTTTCTCGACACCGTGACCTTGCTTTCTGGCACGACGGCTTCTTCCTCCACCCAGGCCTATTTGTTAATCCGAGCCATCAAGTCTTTCATGTCCGCCGGAGCCTTCTTAGTCAGCGATTTGTACAAATCAGTGTCCCAGGACAGCCCCAGCCTAAATGATGCCGCGACCAATGCCTCCACCTCGTTCACTTCATCCCAATATCAGACGGCATATTGTCGGAGTGTCTCTCCCCCTTTCCGCCTAAGCGTCAACACAACGCCGATGTCCTTCGGTTTCTTACTGCTGGTATTGAATCGAGCTATGAAGAGCACTGTTAACTGTTTCCATGACCTAACGCTCTCAGGAGCAAGGTTCTCATACCACCTCATGCCTGTGTCCCCTAGGCTAATGGAAAAAACTCGACACAATACTCTTTGGTCAGTATCATAGATTGACATCAATTGTCTGTATTGTCGAAGGTGGCTCTCGGGATCAGTTTTTCCATCATAGACTTTGAACCGTGGGACGGTAAACTTCTTCGGCATCTCAGCCTCCCTGATAGTCCGGATGAACGGTGAGATAACTTCGTCGAAGCAGACCCCGGGCTCATGGTTGCGCGGAGCGATGAAGGGGACCCTGAGATCCTTTTTTGATCTTTCTCCTCGAGGCCTTCGGGGTATGAACTCCGCTTGTGATTCGGCGACTCCGACGCCCTCGGGTATCCCTCGACGCAGGTCCCACCTGGACAGGTTTGCCTTTTGGCCCAATTTTGACTTTCCCTTGGAGGCCGAGAACATTCCTTGGCGGTTGCATCCCTCGGGCGAGTGCCTAATCCAGTTTTTCCTAGAGGGCCAATGCCAGGGGAGTCTGGACAGGTTCTGGCTAGGCACCTGGTCCCCGAACCCGCGGCTATGCTCACCCGTGCTCGCTGACTGCTCAAAATCATCAAGACGTTGTTGGACTTTGGTGTTTTCCCTCTCAAGCTGCTTAATGCATTTGCCCATCCACTTTTTCACCATCTCAACGATGTCATGGGCCATGAGGTCACTCCCCTCAAGGCTTTAATCCATAGGGAGTGTTCTTTGCGAAGAAAGCCCCACCCCATCTGATTGGCTCAATGAACCCGGCTCCAGAACCATTGGAAGTCGAACGGGCTCTGAGTTCTTGGCTCGTACACTTGCTCTCTCACCCTGAAATTGAGTGTTCACCATCAGATGATCGCTACCGGGAAAAATGCCTTCGTTCCCACAGACGACGCCAAATTGCACGGATAATTCCTGCAATAGTATGAGACAACGATCTCCAAGCTGACGAACTTGAAACAACAAGGTCAGAAAAAAAGGGGTCAGACAANTCTTTATTTTTTTGTCAATAATATCCTTGTTTGAAAAAAGCATCTCAAAATAAATTAAATCTAAGTAATATTTTAGCTGAGATATTCAATTTTCTAGACTGAAAATTGAATTTAGTTTGAATTTCTATCTTTAGTGTTTATGCCATTTGAGAATTAAACTCTACGGGGCAAGCCCAAGAGCCCAACTTACGATGTAAGTTTAGTTTAAATTAAGAGTTTGACTCAAGAAAGATCTGGTAATTTCAAATAAAAGTGGTCAACACCCAATTAAACTTATCAGAGTTTGAAGAGCTACATTAGTAAGAGAGCAGGTATGGTCATCCAAGATCCTCATCCTCGCCATCTTGGAAAGAAGTCAACATCTATCTCTTCTTTTGACCGAATCTCATGGAGAATATCGTAACTGTCTCGCCCATTAAGAAGATATCGACAACTTTATCAGAATAGTCACTTAGTTATTAATAGCTCACTCTAGTCTGTTATGGGCGACTTTGAATTGTAAGTCCCGCCAACACTTGGAGGGGCATCACATTCAGTCAAACACAATTCTTCTCTCTCTTAGCTTGTAACTCTCTATTCTTCCTACACATTTAAAATAATAAAATATCTAGCAATTCAAAGTAGACGTACGTCACATTGACCAAATTATTATAAATCTCGTCTTATTTTTGTCTCTATTTCTTATTTATTAATTACTGTTCATCTGACAAGTGGTGTATAAACTCAATTTGTGCATCATCGATTAAACCAAACTTTTCATCCAAAAATTGAACCCGAGTTGAGGTGGAGTTTCAGATATGGATAATAGTCAAATCAAANCACTTGTCAACCCAAAAGCTGTAAAGCCTCTTAGAGTCCCGCCATATACATAGACATATATATTTGGAGAATTTTTGGTGTATCGGTGGGCTTGTGCTCGGCTGTGTCGGTGTATGGAGTTGTGTCCTGTTGTGGGGTCATTGGTAGGTGGCTGTCGAGATTGTTTTCATAAGAGAAAGAGATTGTTTTCATAATCCAAATTCTTCGCCTCTCCTCTCTCCTCCAAAACCCAAATTCTAGAATCCCCGAAAATCAACCCACAAAGAATTGGCTCAAAAAGTTGAAGAATTTATGCCCAATCTGTGGTCTTATGAGTTCTATTTGAATTGGAAGGAGTGGATAGTTCCAAGAGGCGCGGTTTTGGTTGAATCGAATGTTGAAAACGATGAGTTTTTTTCTGTTTTGTCTGGGAGGATTGTGCAGTGTGAGGGTTTAATGGAATGTTCGATGAGTTGCTTGTTGAAAAGAGAATCAATTGGTAAGCCTGGTTAGAGTTGGTTCGTACTTGGGTGGAAATGAATCAAAGTTTTGTTATAGTTATGTTGCAAAAATTATGGGTGTTTTATATAGAATGAGGGATGGCGAAAGAAGTGAATTGGGCTTGCTTATGGGTTCCAGTTTGAAGCAGTGTCGAATGTGTAAGGTTTTTGGGTTGTGGTATAATACGGAGGATCAGTCTTTATATGTAGTGTCTGAGAGGTATGGTGGCAAGCATTTGAATGATTGGTTGGTAGAGATGAGGAGATAATGAATTTGGCTGTCAAAGATGACATGCCTACCTTTGCAATTATCGGTATGGAGCTATGTGAGGCAGCTAGTGATTTGCATTCACAAGGATTAATTTTGGGTAGTTTATCTCTCCCCTGTTTCAATGTTGATCATTTTGGTCGTCTTTATATGGATTTTAATGAAGTCATGGTGTTGGGTAGGAGAGTTAGAAAAATGATTGCGGAGGTTGTTAGTATGAAATTAAAATCTGATGACAAAGAATTAGATGTGTGGCTGAAAATGGATGCATTGAAAACTGACGAATTTGTCAGTCCAGAAATGTTGTTAGAGTTGTTACAGAAAGAGAGTGTTGAACTGGCTTCTGGTTGCTTAAGATATGCAGTTGGGTATGGTTCATAAGTTTGGTCATTAGCTTGTTTACTCATTTGCCTTCTTATCAGAAGGTCGTTTACTGAAGAGATGCAGCATTATTATGGTCTTTTCCCTTCAGTGATTGAGGAAGAGGGTTTTGATTATATGGGTTTGTACACAGGCTGGATGGAAAAAGTTATTGGTTTGTTGGAACATAGATTGGGTTCGGAGTTTCTGTCATTAAGATATATTTATCATTTATTTTAACTTTTTTTATATTTTTGGTAGATCAAATAATTTTGTGATCGCATTCTAAAAATGTTTTCAATTTAGAACGTGTAAAAATTTGAAGCGTAAAATACATGACTTTGCCTAGCATTTCGCTTAAATAGTAAAATGGTAATCAACAATTTCTAAGCCAAACATAACATAAGATTGGATAGGATTTAAGGATATAATTGTCAATTACTATCAAACTTATGAGATATTTTAAAAAAAAATTATAGTTTATCCACGATCTCACCACATTATAAATCACTAATTAACTCTGAGAAAGTAATTTATTTTTATCCCACTATTAATCCCGATTATTGAAATTTCGTTGGCTGGTTAAAACTTTAAATCCAATCTACTTCGGTCCATCCGTGATTGCCAAACACGCCCACTAAATTCTCAAATTGTGTCTTTAAACCCTCCGCCTCACGGTTAGTCTCTCAATCCTCTCTCTGCTTATCGCCTCACAACACTTCTCTCTCTCTCTGTATTGCAAGCACTTGTTCCAGTTCGAGTTCGCGCAACCCCTCCTTCGAGTTCTTCAACTCCCGACTTTGTAATTATTGCTTTTTATACCTTAGATTGAGCTTTTGTTCTTTGATTTGAATTGAACATGGATCACTTTTCTTGGAATTCAATGTTTTTGGACTATTGTCTGTTTGTGTGACTGTTATTTTTTTTTNTGGGTTTTACTTTATTATGGTGCATGAATTATCATGAAAGATTAAGGAAAAACATATGTAGAGGAGATGCAGATCCTTGAACTCTGTGTATCCCTGAATTCTTTGTCTATTTAAAGGCAGTGTGGTTCTTCCATTTATGTCGACGACAGCTTCAGTTTTTGAATGTTTGTGTTTAATTTGGAGTGTTTTAAATTTAATTTTTTTTACAATGGGTGTTTAATTTGTGTTCTCACTCTATATCTCTCTCTCTCTCTCTTTCACAGCACTAGCACACGCACACACACATTTGCACACAAACACACATTTAAATTGAGTCTTTTAATTTGGCTATTTTTATTAAAAGGTTTATAGTTATAATGAAATAGGTTTTTTTATTATGAATGTTAGGATGGAATGAATGTTGAGTTGATTATTATTGATTAGTGTTCTTATCTAATTCATCATAAGTCTTGTTATAAAATAATCAATAGAAAGAATATTTAAAGTCGATGACAGCTTCAGTTTTTGAATGTTTGTGTTTAATTTGAGTGTTTTAAATTTGGTTTTTTTTATAATAGGTGTTTAATTTGTGTTCTCTCTCTCTCTCTCTCTCTCTTTCACAGCACTAGCACACGCACACACACAACAACACACAAAACACACACATTTGCACACAAACACACATTTAAATTGAGTTTTTTAATTTGGCTATTTTTATTAAAAGGTTTATAGTTATAATGAAATAGGTTTTTTTATTATGAATGTTAGGATGGAATGAATGTTGAGTTGGTTATTATTGATTAGTGTTCTTATCTAATTCATCATAAGTCTTCTTATAAAATAATCAATAGAAATAATATTTAAAGTCGATGACAGCTTCAGTTTTTGAATGTTTGTGTTTAATTTGAGTGTTTTAAATTTGGCTTTGTTTACAATGGGTGTTTAATTTGTGTTCTCACTCTATCTCTCTTTCACAGCAGTAACACACACACACAACACCACACAAAACACACACACACATTTCAAATTGAGTGTCTTTTAATTGGGTGTTTAATTGTTTTTATTTTTATTTTTACTATGAAATAGGTTCATAGTTATGATGAAATAGGTTTTTTTTATTATGAATGTTAGGATGGAATGCATATTGAGTTGGTTATTATGTAGTGTTCATTTTGTGAAATTTATAGACTAATTTAGGTTGTCTTTTTTCTTAATTTTGGTTTTAGGAATTGGATGTGTATGTATTTTTGTATATGTATTATGTTTTATGGAATGCAGGTTAATTGTATGAAATTTCATTGTAATTGATGTTAATTATACATAGCTTATGATAATTACTATGTAGCTACAACCGTTTCAACTGCACAATCATCGACCAATGGATGATGTCGTTATATTTGGCAGTGTAAGTTTATTATCTAATTAACTCTCTCTAAATATATCTTATTGATTTGTTTAATAACTTATTTATTTTAATGTATTTTTATTAATGTCGTGACAGATGGATGACGACCTAGAAAATACCGTATGATAAGTTTTTCTTACTCATCATTTTCTTACTTTTTATCTAATCTTTTTACCCGCTTATTTACTATTCAATGTTTTTTTGGTCTACAGGTTCGAAGACTTCGTCATAATAATGTAGGAGTGGTAATTCGCAATGAGTATGAACTAAATTGTCTCCGTATACGTGAGGTAGTGTATTCTCACACCTATTTCTCATTCAATTTTTTTTTTTTGGCTTTTAAGTAGTATTTTTCTTACACAGAAGGAAAAAAAAAGGTCTGATGCTTTGGCGAATGACAAATTTAAGGGGAAAGAAAAAGCAACCGCTTCTACCCAAGGAACAAAAAATCAAGATTGCCAACTGGTATCACTTTTAATCCTATTCTTTTCTCTATATTTTTACAATGGATTTGGATGTTATTGAATTTAAAAAATTTTAAGTTTCGTTTTATGTAGAACGTTTGATTTGTCAACAAGGTTTTTGTTTGTCGCATTTAATATTATTTTTTTTAATCGTGTTATTCTGTGTATACAATTGAATAACTAGGAAACTATGATTTGTTAACAATGTGTTAGATGCAACTGTGGTTGGGTAGATAGTTCTGTTAATGCAACACTGATACATAATAAGAGTTTAGTAAATCTTTTGATCCGTATTACTGTTTACATTGTAGCATTATGATTTGTCATGTTACCTCGCGTTGCTATATATACAAAGTGAAAAACGATACGATATACGTTAAATCAATAAAATAATAATTATTTTTTTATGAGTTTGTGGTTTAGGCACCAAAGTATAATGTTATATCACAATCAACATTGCCGCAATGTGCAAGGCTTGCTCCAGAAATGCGTTATATTGGGAAAGAAAATGAGTGCTCCAAACGTCAATTGGGATCAAAACATTGTGCCCCCGAAAGAGAGCGATCAAAACATTGTGCCCCCGTTCAGCCTAGATTTTTTCCTTCTTTACCACCGAGCCGTCGTCGCCGAGCATGCCTAGAACGAGAATCAAATAAAAGGTCCCGCCTTCAACCAATGACTTTGTCTACCAAAATTTTCAATCCTGTAACAGACAGTATAGTGACAACAAATGTTTTAGAGTCATCGTCAACCACCTTGCTTCAAAATCTTAATGAAGACACTACAACAATTGTTTCACGGTGGTTGTCTGTGGCCATCATGAATCAAGAAAATCCTCCTCAAAATCTTGAAGAAGGCACACCAACAAATATCTCAATGGTGTCGCCTGTGACTACCATGCTCCAAGACTTGCCTCCTCAAAACCTAGACAAAAGCATAACAACAGTCTTGGAACCATTCTCCCCATGTTCCCCAGAGGCATCGGATATGACAAACATGTTCCAACAAATGCGCAATCTGAATGAAGGCACCAGGTGTTCGCTATAAGTTTTAATTTCCTATTCTCACTCTTGCTGTCTTATTCATGTTCTCATTATACAATCAAATTGTATGACATCTAAATTTTATATGTAGTGCCTATACTGTAGAAGAAGGTGTAGCTATGGATGTTGCACTTAATTCTCGAAACCATGAAATTCCAGATCGTCATTTCCTCGGCTTGATGAATCGAACATGTCCTTATTGTTCTGCCTTACACTGGGTTGCTGAAAAATTAACAAAATCATCTATATCAAATCCTCTCTTTGGTAAATGTTGTTTACAAGGAAAGATTAGATTACCTCTACTTATTGCACCTCCTTTAATGCTTAAAGCATTGTATGACAACAATGATGAACAATTAAAATCGTTTCGTCAACACACACGAGAGTATAATGCAGCTAATGCGTTTACGAGTCTTGGTGCTACTTTGGATGACAGATTAATTGTTGGGAGGGGGCCTAGAACATTCACCATCCATGGAGAATTACGCCATCGAACAGGATCGCTTATGCCACAGCCAGGATGTGAACCAATTTACTCTCAATTGTACATTTATGATCCTAATTCAGCTTTAGATGTTCGCACCAACAGAAATTCTAACTTGAGAAGAGATATTTTGAAAATCATCCAAGATTGTTTATTGCAAGTAAATCCATTTCCTATGAAATTTTGACAGGCTCACACAATTTTAAGTGAATTGGAATTGACGGGGGTGAATTTACCGGCCTATCTTCACTACAGTTCTATAACAGATCGGCGTCGATATAATCTCCCAACAACCGATGAGATTGCGGTAATATTACCGGGAGATGGAACTGAATCAAGTGGAATGAGAGATATTGTGTTACATTTGAGAGGAGATAATGGTTTGATGCAAATTAATGAGTGTCATCCGGCCTATTTGTCATTGCATTATGTGGTATTGTTCCTTTATGGTGAGCTAGGATGAAATTCAGATTTGAAACAGTGGAACACTTCCCAAAGTGGACCTTCATCTACTCGACTGACACAGTTGCAATATTACAGTTATCGTATGTTCTAACGTGACATTGAGTATTCAACGATTTTGAGAGCTGGAAAATTATTTCAGGAATTTGTAGTAGATGCTTGGGCCGCTACTGAACAAAATCGGTTGACATACTACAAGTTGAATCAATCGAAGCTTCGTGCAGAACTTTACCAAGGTCTTACAGATGTTTGTGCAGATGAGCTTGGTCCTGAACAAGTTGGTCAACGAATGATTTTGCCATCTTCATTCACTGGNAGAACTTTACCAAGGTCTTACAGATGTTT